TTATGGAGTCCTCACAGAAATTATAGGTCCATGTTGACACAGAAGACACTTGAGTTTAGTAGCAAACTGAAGGTTGTCAAGGAGGGAGGCTGCGAGACAGATGCTGGAGGACAAAGCCAAGAGATTCAAGGACGTAAGTGAGGCTCAGGTTAAGAGCCTACTTTTTTCTAACACTGCATGTTTCATATGAAACATTTTTATCTTTGTTTTGAGATCTAAAAAAAAAAAAAAGATTGATCATCTGTAAATTGTAATGCAGTTTGAAACATATTTCATTTTTAGCTAAGAAAGAGAACAACTGCTTCTATTTTTCATACAGTGCTATCTGATGGGATGTCTTGTGGTGCATTGTTATCTCATCACCTTATGACCTGTAACATTCATGCTGAGGTTACAGATAGCAGAGTTATATAAACTTAGAAATATGACGTGTTTGTCATCTTACTTTGACCAACACATTGGAAAAGGAGTGCATGTTTTCAAACATTTCTTGACATTTATGTTAATTTCGTTATCCTGTACAAAGTTAGAAAAACTAGACTACTTTTACATGACGTTACAAAATGGTTTCTGTGTGCTTTCACTTAAATTGTATTTAGATTTGTACTTTGATTACATTTTTAATGATATTTGTAACTTGCTGAAGACTTATAATCAATTCTAAGAAAACAATGCTGTGTTGTTTATCTATCATAGTTGACATATACAGCTGTCTGGTGCAGCAGTGGCTCAGTGCAAAAACCTCTGCTCCCTTAATCTCTTGGGGTGTTACTTTTTGGCACACAGATGAAAAGTCGTACATTGGTGGATTTTGAGAACAAGCTTTGCTTAAACCCCAAAAAAGACTGAGACACAGACACAGTTCAAACAAGGAACCCCCTAACCTCAAAGTAGTACAAGGTAAAAGAGAAGAGAAGCACTTTATTATGCGGACTCAGTAGTATTAACTCTTAAAAAAGGTTTATAGTATGTTAATGGTGAATCTGCAGCCATGTAAAGGTTTGTCTTAAATATATTCGTTCAGATTGGCCCAAAGATTTTGAGTCTACTGAAAATTTTAATTGCATGGTTACAAGGACACACTTAATCTTTGAAGAAGTTTTTGGCAAAATACCATACCTAATTGAAGGCTGTGTTTTTCTGTAAAATAAAGAGGGTGCCCTTCCTTTTAACAAGAGGTTACCCCACATATAAAGGATGGAAACTTGTGTGATGACAACTGAATCTAATTTCTCTAAATAATTGATTATTCAATAAATAGTCCATTCTAATGCTGTTGGATTGATAAAATGATAAAAGCTGCACTGTGCTTCTAAATACTTTCCTCTGAAATAACAGAATTAGAAATGAATGATGCTGGCAGGCCATTTTATAGTGGCGCTAAAACAAACTAATGAAGATTTGGAGATTAAGTTCTTTTTTATTTATGTAATTTTTTTTAAAGTAATTTATAATTTATGTCTATCATCCTGAATATAGATTTAATGAAGGGATTTTTTTACTCATTTCATTCACCTGTCTAGCTCCACCAAGTTCTTATTACCTTTCATCTCATCCACCTGCTTCAGCCTCTTTTTAACCAGCCTTCTACCAGTCATCAGTGCCAGATTATTCCAGCCTTTGGTGAGAGTTCTCTAGCATACCTGAGTGTTTCTGACTGCCTGATCCTGACCCAATCCACCTCTGGACCTCTGAGCCTACCTGTTCCCGCTCTGATCTGTTTGCCTGACCTGTCCTCGGACTTCTGCTGGATTCTGCCTGTGTACCGAACCTGGAACTGATTCCTGACATCGTCCTGGATTCTCCTTTGCTACCTCTTCGGATCTCTGATCACCAGGTTCTGACTCCTGGCAGGTCCTCGACACCACTTTGGTTTCACCTTCTGGATTATCCTGCCATCCTTCATGTGCTTGGTTTTGTCTAATGCCTGTTCTCCAATCTCCGGAACATCAGTCTGGAACTCTCTGGGCGGTGCCCACCTGTCTTTTTGGCAGCTCATCCTCTGTGCACGGACTGAACTTTAAGACCAGAGGTGCCTGCTAAGATGCTGTTCTCTAAAATTCCATCTTAAATAAACATTTTGTGAAACCTCTCTCTCCGTCTTGAAAATAAGGTCCTCGTGTTTTGGACCTGACGAATGTAGGGTGAGTCTGGGGACACTCACACCTGATATTAAACATATTTTGTTTCTGAAGAGAATTTTGCATATTCTTTATACACGAGCATGCCCGTGCATACATACCAGATAAACTCGATAATACTAAGCTGCAGCTACAAATATATATCACCATAGGTTCTGACTCTGACACATGGATATCTATGAAATACTATCTTTAAGCTTTTTTTGATTACTTTAGTTGTCTCTTGTCTTCTTTTTGCTGTAATGCTCTCTGTATTGTGTTCCTCTCATCTCCTACAGGTGTGGACGCAGACTTGTAGGAGTTACTGTTTATATTCCTTATTGTCTAATTTTTATGTTTTATTTTCTCTCTTTTCAGGCACTCTATCCTGTCTCTATCTCTCTCTCTATCGTTAGTTCTTATCCCCTCTTTCTTTCTTACCTTCCTTTCTGTCTTTGTGTCCATTGTATATGATTTTACCCCTAAATCATTTTCAATTTCATACTTCATATTTCAGCTTCATATAACAAGTACCAAGTGGAACCTTACGGCCACAGTGTTCATGTAGCTCTGGGACTTTGATTCCCAGAGCTATATTGGCAAAACAGGACACAAATAAATAAGTAGTCATTTTAGTAAAATAATCCTTGCCTTTATTGGGCAATAAGACAGGGGTGTCTAGTTTTTCAATAAGTGGTAAGTATAGTCATAAAAAATATATAACATCCTATACCATGTGCTTATATTATTCACAAATGTTTTGATATCTGTAAAATGACTGCCATTTGTGCATTTAAGAATAACTCAAATATTGAAAAAAAATGTCAGATCCACCACAGAGTATTTGACACACTTTAATTCATAATATGTTTAAGTAAAAAAAAAAAGTAAAAGATTAGATAGACTCCTGATAGAAAATTAACATCTTTTATATTTGAATCCAAATAAAACTATAAGCAAACATTTAATAACTCCTGTTTTGTTTTGTTTGTTTGTTTTTATTAAGGTGAATATCAAAAAAGTGAGATCCTGAAAAATATTAGCTTTCTGTTAATCTTTATTACCAGTCATTAAAATAAACTCAACTTACTTTCTTAATGTGCACTCTACAGTAGGCCTACTACTAAGATTAAAAAATGCATTTATGTTACTTTTAAATGATAAACAGTTGTTTTAAATAGTGTTACACATTAAACTACAATAATAAGTGTTATTTTACTTTTTTTATATAGAGTGGCATAATTATAAGGCGAAACTAGTAGTCAAAGTTCTATTCTAATCCGAATCAACTTCCGCCAGAGACGAGTCTGAACAGAAAACCACTGTCTTTCATCATCAGCCGTGATCGTATAGTGGTTAGTACTCTGCGTTGTGGCCGCAGCAACCCCGGTTCGAATCCGGGTCACGGCAAGTGTTGACTGCGTGAATTTTGGAGGTTTGTACCGCTTAACTACTAACATGCATTATCTTTATCTACCATATGTCGGAAATAACTACTGTGTGTAGAAAAACTTTATAAATTTTCAAAGAAGCAATATATGATCTGCGGTTATGTTATTTATCTGGCGAATGTTTTGATACATGTTTCTTAAATGACACAAAATAACTTAAAAATATGAACCAAAACACACATACCGGTATTTTATTTAAAAAAAAAACTTGGAACCAAAGAAAAAATATAATCAAAGCTGAAATGCTCAAGCTTCAACATCTATGATTCAAACTGAATATCCAGTGTTAGTAATGACCTGAAGGGGGTGCTAAAAACTCATTTTTTTCTGTTTTTCTTTTACTGTAAATCAATAGTGTAAGGCGGCCCTCTCATTATTATCTGGTTGGCCCCCTACGCAATTGTAAACTAGGATGTTTCTTGCAGATATAATGGTGCGAAAAACTCCTCTTTAATTCACCTGATACAACAATAATTGACCGGGACTTATTTATACCCCAACACATGCCAGATTTCAACATGATGGTAAGTCATTTAAACACAACACCAATAGCACAGCAGACAGTGGTACTTTTAATTACTATGTTAATAACTGTGTATAGTTTATCAGACGGTTGGTAAAAAACACACTCATATAATATGTTTCAAACCGCAATAAAGATCTTAAAAAAATATATATGTTTGAATATTTTTTTTTTTTTTTACAATACCACTTGGAATTATGGGTAATCCAGAGTGTAGATGGGGGTGTTGTACTTCATATGGGGCCCACCCAGATAATCTTGCTTACGGGCCTATTGTTGTGTCATTACGCCATTGCTGCAAATTCAGTTCATTTGACTCTATGCAAGCTGTCAGGCCAGAAGACACATAAGGGAAACCCTTTTTGTAGAGGTTATGGTCATGGAAACAGGGCACAGACTCTGTAAACAAAACAGTTTGGACTTTAACTTTTGAGTAAGCGATAGAAAGGTATTGCTTCTCAGTCTGATTTTTCAGATGATCAATTATAAGTCACAGTGATACTGTGCAAGAAATCATGCATGTCTGTACAAATTCAACCTTGTCATCCTCTTTGTTTTTAAGAATGTAAATTTTCATATTTAGCTTCTATAATGTCTTCCTATGTCTTAAACTTCAACAAAATTATTGTCTGTAGACAGCATAAAAAATACCATTTATATGTAAATAGAGAAATAAATAGATTAAACTGTTAATTCAAAAAGGATGAAGTAAAAACACATTAGATGATCTCTTTAATAAATAAAAATATAAAGACTTTATCGCATTTTTTTTTCCTATTTTAGTATTTTATTTGTCCCAAATAAAGTAAGTAAACATACTTTGCGACACGTCACAGCTGCCTCTAAACCCCCCTACTTTTACGTGAAGTCTCGCGATATTATCTCTCAAATCTCGCCTAAGCCAACCAACCAGGAAGCGAATGGCGGAAATGTAGATCTACCTCACGCTTTTAGTCAGGATTTTTGGCGTATTTTGTGTCTTGGAAGGAGCGAACCCTGAAGCAGGCAGCAGATGTGTTCAGTTAGCAGCAGAAGGAGGCTCCAGTGACACAATGCGGCCGCTGTGATCCGCACCGTGAATGGACAGATGGACAGCCAGTGATCCAGCTGAGACTGAGAGCGTCCTCTCGTTAACTATAACACTGGTAATATTAAACACTACCTTTCATTTTGATCTCCACTTTGCGGATAAAATCCTACTTTTATTACTTCTCTTTGTATGGTCGTTCTAAAATGTGAACTTCTGTATTTTTATAGAATAAAAACGTTTTATATCAGAACATATGGACATCTCCCAATCAAATATTTTGAAAAATGTGTCTGATTTGGTTTAATTTAAGGCGTTTAAATGCTGCTGTCTGTAAATTTAACAGCTTCACCAGTAAATCACCAAACTGGAAAAGCAAGTTGTGCCAAAAAGTCCTCAGCACTCAGATTTACTTTCACATAATAAGGAGAAAGAATCTTTCTTTTTTTAAAATAATCAACTTATAGACACATGTTAGTAAATTAGAATATATAATTAAAAAGTTGTTGTTGTTTTCTTTAATTAAACTGCAGAAGTAAAACTTATTGATTTATTTCAGGCATTTTTTCTTGTAACTGCTATAATTTATAAATCAATTAGCATTGACATCAAATGGCATCCAACTAATTAACACCATTTCATTTTTTATAAAGAAATGTCAGCTCATTTAAAAGTTTCTCCATGTACTATATAACATGTGGTACATGGCACACTGATACCACCACTGCTAAAGCAGGGTTGTTCCTTTTTGCAGCTAAAACATCGAGATTTTTTTAATTAAAGATCCCTTTTTATAACTCTTTTGTACTATTCTAGTTTTTTAATGAAACATACATTTGGATTTCCATTTCTAGTACATGATAGTCACCAGCTGACAAAATACAGTCTTTTTAATTTATTATAAATCTATTATGATATAAAACTCTTCACTACTGCTTCATTAGGCACCTTTAGAGCCACATAGTTCAGGATGGCATACATTCAGCAAATTGTCCGACACATTGCTCTGAGGTCTTTAAACCAATGATCTGTATTTCCAGTTCCACCGCATCATAAACATGCTCTGTTTGATTAAGATCTACTGACTGTGAAGGGCAGTGATAAATAAGTGAATAATGTTCAGTTTGTATTAAGCCACCCAACATTTCCTAGTAATATGTCTCCCTAACCATTACACTACCACCCCCAGCCTGAACCATTGGTCTACCGTCTGAATGTTGCAGGTGAAACTGAAACTCATCGTCCAGGCATCCGTTTCTAATCTAATGTTCTCAGGTTTCTTTTTTTGAGCTGGTAGTAAGAGGACCCAGTGTGGTCCTTTTTCACCTCGTTAATCTTTTTAAGGGTTTAAAATGTATTCAGAGATGATTTCATACATACCTTGGCTGAAACAAGTGATTATTTGAAGCATTATTGTCCTATCAAATCAGCTCATTGTTCTCTAAAATCTGGAAAAAAAAAACAGTGTTGTTGAAGGTCATTGGATATTTACTCTATAAACCCTTAAGTTGGTTGTGTGTAAAAATCCTAGCAGATCAGCTGTCTCTGAAAAAATCCGCCATTAGAAATCTCTTACATTTTTGTTCTTGAAGGTCATATCAATTGGAAAGCAAGTTTATTAGTTTCTCTTTTTGATCAGAATTACTAAAACATTAACATTTTGATTGTAAAATCTACTTGAAAGTAAAATCCTCCTCCTGAATCTTTTTTTTTCTGCTCATCTGCAGACGTATGGGCCTGCTGCTCAGCTAGCTGAGGAAGACGGCCATCATGTTTCTAAAAACCTCCTTCACCACTCTGATTGTGGGGGTGTTTGTGGTGTATGTGCTGCACACATGCTGGGTGATGTATGGGATAGTGTACACCAAACCCTGTGACAGCCCCAAAGGAGACAACTGCATCACACCATTCCTGGCAGGCAACCCCAAACTGCAGGTCAGCCACGGTTTATGGACGCTTTGATTTAAACATTAATAGTTTTTAATTGATCTGTAACATTTCTTTCTGCTTGTTAGTTGAGTATCTACGCTTCGGTGAAGCCAAGCGCAGAAGGCGGCCATACTCTGATTCACAGAGAGGAGAACTTTGATGTCAACAGCAAGTTTGAGAGGTTAGCAAAACATGCATTGATCTCAAGAAGCATCTATCCATTTTTTTCTAGTTTGGTTAAAAACGTATGCATTATTTTTTTGTTTGTTTCCCTGTAGAATTGTCAACGTTTCACTCCCGAAGAAAACGCGTAACAATGGAACTTTATATGGATTAATATTCGTCCATCAGGCTGGCCTCAATCCATGGCAGGACCCACGACAGGTCCACTTAGTGGCTCAGCTCACCACCTACATGGTCCCAAAGCCTCCAGAGATCTCTCTGATCTCTGGAGAAGATCAAACGCTGGTACATCGCTTTCTGCTCCTCGCTCCTCTTCTGGAGGAACTGCTACTTCTCTGCTTTACTCATTTTAACTTTATAATCTTAAACCTTGCATTGTTTTGGACTTGAACTGACTGTTTCTTTGTTTTTCGAACCATATTGTCATATTATGAACACAAACTCACAGTAAGGGATATCTGCATTCAGTAATGTCAAGATTAACTTTTTCAACAAGTTTTCTCCCTTTCAAAACTTTTACAAGAAAACTTTAAGATTTTGTTTCTACAGGCATTAAGTTTGTTAACATTCTTTCTCCAACAGGATGAAAAACAGGAGGAGCAGAAGAAGACGAAACGTGACGGTAAACCTGCAGCAGGAACTGGAGCTAAAGGTGGAACCAGCGCTTCCTCAGACCATCCAGTTTCTCACTGGCGCTCCCGTCTAACTCTCAACATCGTCGGCGACCACTTCCTGTTCGACAGAGAATACCTGCCAAGCGACGTTCACAGATACCTCAGAGTGTAAGAGAGACAATGATCCCACACAATGCAGGGGCAGCTAAATATAGACTTACCATTCTACAAGGGCTTCCAGTTGGTAGTTTTAAACTTTGTTGCAAAACAACTTGCAGAGAAGAAACCAAATATGTTCACACTTTTTTTGACCATATATAAGAACATTTTGATTGTTTTAAACATTATTTAATTGTTTTTAGCTCAATGAAAAACAGAATCTTATTACTTACATATGTAGAAAAAAAAAGTCAATAAAAAAAACCCTTTGCAGCACATCCTCTGGCTTTTAAAACAGCTTGAAATGTCCTATTTATAAAACTTAATGATTCTACATCAACCCTGAACAGCAAGTCTTTAATGCTGAAGCTAACTCTATGTTTTCACAACTGGGTTGAGAATTTGATTCTTTAAAGAACATAGAGAATAATGAACTTTGTGGAAAGATGAACGTCACAAAGAATGACTTTAATATAAAATAAAACACTCACTTTGATTTATGTGTCAAGAATGTCAATGAAATTTGTGTATTTAGTATTAAGATAACCGTTTTTCCTGTTGGTTAGGTTGGTGAGCTCTTAAATCACCACGATTTAAGATAGAAAATAAAGTAATTAAATGGATAAAGATTTGATCGAGACAGGAAGTGAATCCATGCTTGATGTTTTAGTTTTCAAAGTAAAATGATCTTTTGGACAGCCTCTAATGTTTCATATTTTGTTAGGGGGTTGTAAAAATGTACGGCTCAATCTATCAATGGTTTGTTTTTGCTTTAGATTCCAGAACGGGAAGAAGATGGTTTATCTACCTCTGCTGTTTGTTGACGAGCTAAGCAACAGGGTCAAGGACCTGGTGGTGAGTTTTTACCTTTTATAAACATATTGCAATACGCTGCTTTATAGAGGGAAGAGTAAAATCACACTTGTGATTCTGTTAGGCTTTTTCTTCCTGAATCTTTCATGTTTAAATTATGAATTCTAATTATTTTTCACATAGAAAATGTTTCCGTTTTGAAATTAGAGGCGTGTATTTTCTGATTTTTTTTTTTTTTCATGTTTTAAAATGTAGGAGATCAACAGCACCTCCACAGAGCTCCCTCTGACTGTCTCCTATGACTCCATTTCTCTGGGCCGCCTGCGGTTCTGGATCCACATGCAGGATGCTGTTTACTCTCTGCAGCAGTTTGGTATGCTGATCTTTCTTTGACTCGCTCACACAGACACATGTCCAGTACATACAGCTAACATTTATTTATTTATTTATTTATTTTTTTTTTTTTTAAGGTTTCACAGAAAAAGATGCTGATGAGATCAAAGGGATCTTTGTGGATACCAACCTGTACTTCCTGGCTCTGACCTTCTTTGTCGCAGCCTTCCATGTGAGTCATAAGAACACAAGGATTTCCAGGACATATTAAATATGCTGTAATGTTTTTTTTTAGGTCCCCTTCACTTAAATACCTCTATAGCTCAGTGCTACCAACAAACTTACCGATTTAATCTCACTATAAATCCAGTTATTCTCAGAGGTTGATTGGAGAACATCAGGATAGGAACGGCACACACTGAGAAAAATACTTTCAAACATTTGACCGTCTCACAGAGCCCTTTATCCATCAGCTGAGAAGCTATAATGTTTTCTCAGGAAATACATTATTAACCTTTTAACACATTATATTTAAGTACACTTAAGAAGGGAAAAATGTAATTCAGGTCTTTTTTTTCCAAAATAAAATTGAGGGTGACCTGGATGTATATCTGGTTGCGCAAATGAGCTGATGGTACGGATTGTGCTTTCGGTTCCGTTCAGGTATTAACAAGGCCTGCTGACAACCATGGCTGGGACCAGGAAAAGACTATTTCAGCACAGAAAACCTCCAAATAAAAAAAATAAAAAACAGCACAGTAGTTTATTGTTTAATTTATATCAATAGAGCCGCAGAACCAAGGAGCCACTTATAGCTCTGCACTGAACGAAGTGAAATGTCCACGTCATTTAGTTTAATTAAAAATTTCGGCTGTTACAACTGAATATTTGGTTTGAAAATCTTCATTTAGTACCTACAGTGTAAAAAGAAAAAAAATGGCCAATTTAGAAATAAAGGAACGGAAATAATTAGGTACTAAAAGAGATCTACTAAAAGAAAGAATAAAGATGTTCTCTGGAATATTACATTGTGCATATGTACATTCATAATTCAGGGATATTATATATATATTTTTTACTTTTTCTTAAAATTAAAGTTACCTGTTTTAATCGAATCATAATTACAAAGTAAATAAAACTGACAAATCAGTTGTAAAATTTTTTTTTGGTTCAAAATAACATTAAGGAGATGAAAACCGATCCTATCTAAATAGGACTAAAGCTCTCACCTTAATTATCTGGAATATGATCTTAAATGCCTAAAATATGATTACGGTTCTATCAGTCACTATGTCTGTTCCTCTGCATTTCATCATTAGATTATTTTTATTAGTATTGTCTCTTCAGGACAGGGGTCATAATAGGGGTCAGGGCCAGTTCTACAGGGGAACTGGCCCCCGTTGGCCCCTGTCTAGAACCACCCATGATAAGATGAGAGGTAGGGCTAAAAAAATGGGAATAATTTACATAGAGGCGTGTTCACGGTCTAGTCAAAGTCCAGTCCTAGTTAAGAATGTGTAGCAAGGCTTGATTTTCATAGTTTACTCTCCAAACTGATAGTCTTAAAACAGTCTGCAAAAGTCTCCATGAATTAAAATCTGTAAAAATAATGAGAAAACAAAAGCTGATCCTTTCCTTTCTCTTCAGCTATGGATTCAGTGTTGGTTTATTCTGTGACGTAAAGTCCTATACTTTAAACTTTTGTTTTTTAATGGTTCAATACCTCCTGACATAAATACTCCCAGAAAAAAATGCCTCTTTCTTTTGTTTTTTGTTTTTATACGCTGTGACTCAAATGTCTGCTTTTCATCTCGTTTGTGACTCTCCTTCAGCTCCTCTTCGACTTCCTCGCCTTTAAGAATGACATCAGCTTTTGGAAGCAGAAGAAAAGCATGGTGGGAATGTCCAGCAAAGCAGGTAGGGGGACTTTAAAGGACATATTTTTACCCTCATTAGTACACCAACAGAAACCACAACACAAAGAACAGCTGGAACATCTTGTTAGAACCCAAGTCCACTATGTACTACAGGATGTGGCTGTCACTTTGTGATCAACCTGTTTAAAAAAAAAAAAATTGGTAAAACAAGCGAATATCCCTGAAAGGCATCATCTGTGCATATGTGGATTCTCTGCACTGATGAGCAGCCATATGTAGCATTCTGCAACAGTCTGCTCACATTAATAATTTTAAAATGAAGCTGTTATGCTGCTGCTGAGCCAACACATTTTCTCTGGAAACGATGGAAAATCACTACCTGCATGTAAATTACTTCATTAGATTCTCATGGACACACAGAACCTAACTTAGCTACTAGATATAGAGGAAAAAAAACATAAAAAGTGTCTATTAGTCTTGTGGAAATGTTAAGTCTGATGGATTATTTAATGCCCTTTATTTCAGTGCTGTGGAGATGTTTCAGCACCATAGTGATTTTCCTCTATTTGTTCGACGAGCAAACGAGTCTTCTGGTACTCATACCTGCTGGGATCGGCTCTATAATCGAAGTAAGGACTCTTCTACATCCACAGACATCACTACCAACATTATTACCTACTGGAACTTTCAATTTTAATTAAAAGCCTAAATTAACACGATCACAGCTTCGAAATGTTCAAGTTGTTATATGTTCTTCTGCTACATTGTTTTTTTTTTTATTCTGCAGGTTTGGAAGGTGAAGAAAGCCTTTAAAATCCAGGTTGTGTGGAAAGGAGGCAAACCAACATTTGTGGTAGGTTTTAAAAAAAGAAAAACACAAAAACATGACAGATACTGAAGAAAACCACAAATGTGTTTTCTGCAGTTGATGTTGAATGAAGCTTTCAGCTGACATTGTGTCAGACTGCAACTCAAAAGCTGACAAATCTGTAGGTGTAAATCTGGGGGAAACTGCTCTATCAAATGCATCATTATTGGAAATTATTGAAAAAAAATTATTTACATCAGTAAATGAATTCAGAAAGTAAACCTTGTTAATCACGTGTGTATTTCTGCATGACTAACATCTTTTTCCTTCCTCTAAACTTTCCATTAACACGCTAAGAGGCAGCACCTAAATTAGCTTATGTAGACATTTGTATTCAGCAGTCTTAACTGTTACTGCAGCTTTATTTATGTTTTTCTGCATAAATAAGGCAAAGCAGGTTTATTTACATCCCACATTTTAGTAGCAGGACAATGCAAAGAAACAAAGAAATAAGCATAATAGGAAAATTCAGTACAGTACATTTCAGTGGCTCAAAGGTAATTATGATTGATTTAAAAAAATAAATAAATAGAATAAGCATAATAAATAAACTTATTTAAAAATGTTAAAAAAAAAACAAATAATCAAATTATCTATAATTTTTTAAAGAAGTTGAACTAAAAAAGTTTAGTTTGTAGAGTCAAAGGCTGCTCTTAAATATTTGTTTTTAATACTAGAAAGAATCCCTTTTTTATTTTTTCAAAGTGAAATAACATTTTGTATTGATCTTATTCGCTGTTAAATTATATATATTTTTCACTTGGAGATTTAACTGCTTTTCCACTTACTATGTTTTGTACAGTGGACACATTTTCAAGAATGTTTCTGCTGGATATATAAAGCAGTGCCTCAAATCTGTGCTTTGATAGCTGAATTTATAAAATAATAACTAAAAACAGGGGATACCCGACACATTAAAGCAAAAAAAAAAAAAGATACATGAATTGAAATGAAAGAATTATAATTTCAAAAAATTCTTTTTTTTTTTTTTTTCAATTTATTTGTAACAAATGCATAAAAAGCAAAATTGTCACCTTTGAAAAACATTGACAAATAACAGTTTTATAGCAGCAAAAATCTGATTCCCAGAGATGTTTTTGGTTAAAATGTGTAGTTAAGTAAATAATGAAACCAGACATAGTAAGACGCTTTCTTTAGACCTGACAGTTTATTTTCTGTTCAACAAAAGCAATTAAATTCAGTTTATTTATATAGAGCCAATTCAAAACACGTAATCTCAAGACACTTTACAATTCAACCTGATCAAACAGTCAAACTTATTAAAAGTTTTCTATCTCAGGAAAACCAGCTGATTGCATCGACTCATTGACTCTGAGGCAATCCCTCACACTAAACATGCTTGTAGCGACAGTGGAGAGGAAAAACTCTCTTAACTGGAAGAAACCTCTAGCAGATCCAGGTTCAGAGTGAGTGGCCATCTGCCGAGGCCGACTGGGGTTCAAGGAGACAGAAGCAGAGATACAGAAAGAAACAGAAATATAAAAAGCAGCTGTCACCAGCTCCATAGACCGCCTCCTCCAGGAAACACACAGCCAGGCAGACGAGCTCTGAGCCAGCTCCCATGTCCGAGGATAAAAAAAAACAGGCCAAGCTCCAACATCTAGCATATTAGATAATTATGAGGAAGTCTGGCTTCTTTATGGTAAAGCAATTTTCTGCTCAACCTTTTTTAAAGGGAGAATAAATCTTTGTGATGTACAAGCCTTTTTAGGCTAATAATATCATGCATATCAGATTTAGATTACTTATTTTATTGATGAAAGAAATATTCATCATATCTTTGCTTACTCTTGTTTTTTTGTTTTCTTGCCTTCTCACAGTTTGGGAAATTAGACGAATCAGAGCGAAGAACAGAAGAATATGATACTCTGGTACGAAGCAATTTTTATAGCAAATTCCAGTCTAATAGTTGAAAAAGTTTAGAGACTGATTAAATCCTTTGCTTTTCTTTAGGCCATGAAGTATCTCTCATACCTCCTTTATCCACTGTGCATCGGAGGGGCAGTGTACGCGCTGGTATTCCTGCGATATAAGAGGTAGAAATGTACAAAAATAAATAAATGTAATGTCTTTACTCTGTGGATGTCATGTGGTGCTGATTGACCTTTCTTAATTACCTGTTCTCCAATAGTTGGTACTCGTGGTTAATAAACAGCTTGGTGAACGGTGAGCTAGCCAAATATTTTTTTTCTCTTATTCATTTGCCACATATAAAATTATTATGATTGAAATTAATCAAAATTTCTGTAACTGTGTAAATTTTTAGGTGTGTATGCCTTTGGTTTCCTCTTCATGCTTCCTCAGCTTTTTGTCAACTACAAGGTTAGTATTTTTAATTTGGGTTCAGGATACCGTTTACAACTCACAGCAAATATTCAGTCATGCAGACCCAGTTTGGTCCCAGTTCAGCTCACATAACTCTAATTCATATATATATTACAGTCCCATCATACAGTATTTATACCCATTCAGTTGCATATAAAAAGGAAGCGGAAACAATAAATAGACACAAGTGGTAAGCAGGGAGTACTTTTAGCATAAAGGGAAAAATTATGGGAACAACAGCTCTATCTAGAGAAGAGATGCAACTAAAGAGTTTTGATTGGAAAGAAAAGCATATATGGAAATGCAACAGTTCCTTCACTGGCTCCTCTGACCAAAGAGAAGCAGAGTTTACACTTAGTTCCTGCCCCCGTAGCTGGATTTAAAAAAGAAACACGGCTAAACACTGTGCCAAAAAGGAAACCCAACAGTGCTTATATACTGCTGGTAATTATGGCAGTGACTGCTACCTCAGGGTTTCCTCATTAAATGTCATTAAATTATTATTTTTTAAATTAAGGCCTTAACTGACATTAAAATTCATTAAATGTGTTTATTGTGGTATTTTAAAAGCTTTCTTTAAAAAAAAAAAATTGTTCCATCAATACAAAAGTTGTATTTCGTCAAACATATTATATCACGAAATATTTGTGTGGAACTGCTTCCGGTTGATCGCAAAGCCATATGTTCAGAAAAAGCTAGAGAATGGGGGGGGGTTATGCCAATTTCAACAAAAGTGGCTGGAAAACGAGGAATTTGGGACATGGCTGCAGCCTGTCGACGAGTACCTATTAGTGGCATTAAAATTCTTTCTAAGGGCATTCAAAAGCATTAAGTTAGAGTTAGTCATTCCTGTATAAACCCTGTACCAGGAAACACAAACCTGCTAGATGTAGAAGCACTGAGCCAGCAGTGCTTTCTAAGGAAAGACTGGCTAAAGGGGCAGCAAATGTTCAGCTGTTTGCTTTGTCTTTTAAGGAGACACAGCTAAACACAAATGCTTCAGCGGGTTTACTTGTGTGAAATAACAATTTACACGTAGCTATAGAAACCAGACGAATAACTGAAGGCCTTGTCAATACAACTCAACCAGAAAGCACTAAATAAAGGCTATCTTGTTTGTTTAACATGAAAAAAAAGAATGGTGGTGGCAGAAAATAGAATGGAATACAATAGAAAATAAATGAAGAAAAGTCCTTAGTTTATACTCCAGCTTTGGCATCAGAACAACATAGAGCATAGGAATATGCTTTACGTTTTTTAGCAATGTTGGTTTTCTGCTCTTATGTTGTGAATTTCATACCAAAATATCTTTTATTTCTTAACAGCTGAAGTCTGTGGCTCACCTGCCTTGGAAGGCCTTCATGTATAAGGTGAGATTGGTTTCTGATGGATACACGAATAATGGGGAGGACATATTAGTTTCCTCCCTCATTCTAAACACATGTATGAGGGGCTGATGGGTAACACTTCATGTATATTTTTATGATTGATACGTTTATCTCATTATATATGATGTATACTATCAAAAAGTACTTGAAATTATTCAGAGATTCACATTTGACTTTGTTTCCAGGCATTCAACACCTTCATTGATGATGTGTTCGCCTTCATCATCACCATGCCAACCTCCCACAGACTGGCATGTTTCAGGGACGATGTGGTTTTCCTAATTTATCTATATCAGAGATGGTAAACGCACACAACCTCTGCATGTATTCCTAATCTGCCAACAACCCCTACAAATATCCTATTATTCTGTTTCCTCAGGCTCTACCCAGTGGACAGAACAAGAGTAAATGAATATGGTATTTCATATGATGAGAAGCCCAAAGAAAAGACTCACAAGGACTAGAGGGAACATGGGTGTTTTTTTGCAGACTTCGACGAGCTGCTACCTTCGGATGTCATCTTTTCTTCACTCATAACCACAGAAATGTTGGCAACATTTGAAGGTTTAATTGCTTGCACATCATTCCTCACTAACTGCTAAAAAACTTGAACATCGGTAGAGAGCCAATATGTAGCCAGTATTTGTCCACTCTGGGCTACTGTAGGAACCATGCCAGGGCATCTTGATGGATTTGGTGGAAGGGAAAACTTGTTAACAGAAACGTTAAAGGCTGAAACTTTCACATTTTACTCTGATTAAAATATCGATTAGTTTCATTACAGTTGATCAAAGAAATGACAGAAACGTACTCGTACTAACGTCCAATGAGCTGAGTCTAATGCATCACTTTGTTGCCAACGAACCAGAATTTTCGTTAAAATTCTGGTTCTAGCAGTTTTCGTTCTAGTGTGAAATGGCATAAAAATCAACAAGCTAAATCTGAAAAGCTAGCATCAAAACGTATGCAAAAAAAAAAAAGTGTAGACTGGAGAACTGACTGCATCTAATCAAACACTGTGATATAATCCACTACACTAACGGCTGTGAGGGCTTTACTATCATATCGCTATACCAGCTTACATTCCACTGCAAAGGTTGTTTAGCTTAAAGTTTCAGGTGGATTTTTCTAATTTAAATTTCTGTTAACTAATCCTAGGAACATGTTTCAGGCCACTTTGAAAGATTACCTCATATGATGCATCCAATGGGAGCAGTTTTTTTTTTAAGCCAATCTTTTGATTCATATCTTCCATCAGGAAGAACCAACTGCTCTATACTTATAGTTAAAAACATGCAATAACATTTTTACAGAAAACATAAAATAGAGGGTAAGATTCAGTGGTTTAGTGTTTCAGTAAGAAAGTTTCATTTTTGCATTCGAGACAAATGCAAAAAGAAACTTTGTTTTTTAAATGTGTCTTTTATTGCATAATTAGAATATTCATTATAAAAACTTGAATCAAGAATAATATCGATTTTAAATGAACAAGCATTGAATTGGAAAAAAGTACATAATAGTTATATTTGTGAAAAAGTTTCTTCCTGTTGGCTTCTGTAAAAGCTGATGTGGAGATAAAGTTCTGATGCAGATACGGAAAATGTAGGATTTTATGTAGGAGAGTTTCTGGATGTTGAAGGAATGATTCGGTGTTGGATTAAGATGGGATTCTGGTAAAAACTGAGACCTTTCCTGGTGTCCTCTTTTAAGTCAACAACAAATCGAACTTCTAAGTTTAAAAAAAACAACAAGTAGAATCTCAAAAGTCTTATAGTGGTTTTTGCAGATTGTATTTTATGAAACTTGTAAACCTTTGTTAGATGTCTGTTATTTAAGCCTTTTTATGTATTTTACAATTGGAGGCAGTTTTCCATCATTAGACTTCCTGTGTGAATCGATAAATGCAAAGGACTTTAAATTCATATTGACTATCTAATATAAAAGTAATGCAGATTTCTCTTAGTTACTTTGATGTATGCATTTCACATGGGAAGTTTCCTGGAGGGACAACGCCTCCAACCTCTTTTCTGGATTAGACCAGGGAAACAAGGCAGTTTACAGGCTTATAAAATGGCATTCACTTAAACTACTGTAATATTTTTAGACTGATGCTGGTTTCTGATATAAGAGGTTTTCTAAGACTTGTCCAGTCTGAATCCCCACCAGCTTCTGTCTCTGAGGCCAACTAATTTACATGTTCAACAAGTAATGCCACCAAGGTAGTTATCTACTGCAGGTTAGATAATAACTGCTTATCTTTTAACAGAATTCCATTTTACAATACTGAACTGTTCCTTTAATGTTGGCAGGTTCAATGTGTGAAGATGAGTTTGTTTTTCTGTCCATTGGCTATGTTATGGTTTATTTTTGCTAAATATATATAAGGGTACACTGACGTTCATAAACCTTCTCATTTTTTTTTTTCTGTACATGTCAGGGCCAAGACATTTTTGTGCCAAATGCACGAGTGATTTTTACTAATTATCTGTAAGCTTTGAATGTGTGACATAAATGACCCATCCAATGTTTTTAATAGACACTGATGTTTTAGAGGGGAGAATATTGGTTGGAAAGTATTATAACACCTGGACCTAAAAAAAAAAAAATATCACATTTTTACTCATTTACTCCTGCTTATTGTAAATGTTCCTTTACAGTATACAGACTCTATTAGGAATCAATTTATCCATTGTTCAGATATCAAGATTCTTACAGCAAGAAGGTAAAAAGAATTGTTCTAAGCTAATTGAGGCCAGAAAAGATTTTCTGGAATTTTGCATTGAAATTGTTTGACATTATTGCAATGTTTTTGTTTTTCATTGAAATGTAATAAAAATGATGAATGATAAAATAATTTTCCTACTGATTTGGTGATTCCTCCATACTGTTGATTGGTTGACCTACCAGCCTTTGACGGCCAAATCAGTGAGATATGATGAGCTTTTTATTAATGCTAAGAGCTACAATTATAATGGAATATTCTTATTTAACCTGCGCAAACATTTTTTACTTGTACTCGTCTTCCGCATCATCCTCGGACATCTCTTTCAGCTCTGCTGTAGGAAGCCTGAGAAGCTCCCAGGCATGCTGAAAGACAGGTCCTGGGTCGTCCGGTGGGACGTGCCTGGAGCAACTCTCGAGGGGGAATCTGACAAAGATGTCCGAGGCACCCCACCTGACTCCTCTCGATGTGGAGGAGAAGCAATTCAACTCCAAGCTTCTGCTGAAAGAGGAAGCTCCTGACCCTCTTACCTTTCTAAGGGAGTGGTCAACCACACTCATTTCAGCTGATTGTATCCAGCATGTCGTTCTTCCTGTCATGATCCAGATTTCATGACCAAAGGTGAGGGCAGGAACTTAGACCGACCAATAAATCAAGAAGTTTGCCTTTTTTTCTCAGATCTCTCTTTACCACAATAGCACCTGCATTATAGCAGCAGCCGAAACAATCCATCTCTTGATCTCTCGCTCCATTCTCCCCTCAAAAATGAACAGGAAAAAGGCTTGAGGCAGGAATTTTCCAACTTGAAGGGGATAAACCACCTATTTCTGGTTACGAACCGTGGTTTTGGACTTGGAGGAGTTGATTCTCATCCTGGCTGCTTTACACCCGGTTGTGACCAGCCCATATACGTCCTGTAGGTTTTGTCTGCCAATCCAGGAATGCCGTCCTTGACCTCCATGCGATGCTGAAGAGGCGTGTCAGCCATGACAGCCCGACAACATCCAGAGTTCTTTAACCACCTCGGTGGATTAAGCCTGAGTGATAAAAGAATACAGCAAATCTTTTTTAAGATTTTCAAATTACCGTTTTCCTGCTGTCATTTACTGAATATTCTTTTTTTTTTTTTTTTTTTTTTTGCTCAGGTTTTGTTATTAAATTATGTATGAGTTTCTTAGTCATGCCCTTTAGAGACAAGTTTGTACATCTTCAGTCAGTGGCTTTGTTGTTTAGGTAAACTCATGCAATTTGTGTGTCTCTGCATTGATTTTAATCTTTCCTTTCAAAAATCTATATATGTATGTAATTTTATATATATATATGTTTCCTACATTTTCCTAAAATTTCTTGGTAGCTGAAGCTCATCCACTTCAGAAAAAAATCCAATGGGGTATTTTTGTACCAGCTTTGAACATCAATGAAACAGTTAAGATGAAGGGTTGCAATTCAAGAATGACAATAATCCCACACACATTTATTCTATTTTATTTTATTTATTTTTTGAAACATTTCATTTCCTACCCTCTACCAGGTTTTTATGAGTGTCAAATATAGAGCTTTAATTAAAAGCTTGTATGTATTTATGTATGTATGTGATTCTTTAACTACGGGCACTATTGGCCTTGCAAACTTGAAGAGAAAAAGTATCAAAATATAAATTCACACAATGTAATCGGTTAGCATAACTAGTCTAGTTTGAAGATTCATAAGAAAACACTGATTTTTTTTTAAGACAAATTGGTGTTTTTTAACAGATTTCCCAACTCGGCTGGCACAAATGTAATTTCCATCACATAAATATTTGTATATTATATTATATATTTACTATGATACATGTTTTTTCACTGGAAGAACAATTTCATATATAGTTTTAACTGTTTATACATTTATTGTAAAACACATTTATGGATTAGGTAAATTAATTGTGATGAGACAAGACGCAAATCTTATGTCCACCATAACCTGAGATATAGCATTGGAATAGCAAGATACATTTCAAGTTGTAAATACTTGTGTTTTTAATTAAAGTGGAACATTATCTCTTAAGTTATGAAGAAGGTTTTAATGAGTGATTAGAATTTTGCAACAATTTATTTTAAAAAAATGGTGCGGTGGAAATTACACAGCGTGGTGGAAATTACAATGAATGGACTATATAGACAACAAACCTTTCTTTTTAAAAACTTTATGGAGCATAATAATAAATAATAATGATAAATGAATACATTATTAAATAATAAATTAATTGCAGTTGTGCATAGGTGGTACTAAGGGTGGGAGAGAGGGGGTAGCACCATCGCAAAATGCTTAGCATGTAGAAACATGTCAAAAGTTGTCTAAAAAAGTGTTATTTTATAATATTACCACATTGTTCTAATAATAAAATTAGGTAAATAAAAATGTGAGGGAACAAGGGCCTTGTATGTGTATGACAGTTTCATTGTAACGATAACTATAAAGGTGTGGAATTTTCCTTTTTTAAATGTTTCATGAAATATGATCCAAGGACATAAAAGTGTCCGTAGTTAAAGAAACACTCATGAAGCAAAGCTTAAAGTGTGGTGTGTGTTTACGTCACCACGCAAAGTGACGTTCAGTATATATTGAAATCCCGCCCTCTGCTTTTCCCTTTCCGCTGTTGGAACGTTAACGTGCCTAAGGTGCTTGGTTCTTCATCCGAAGCTAAGGCCCCTAATCCGGCGACTAGTACCCTCAAATTTAGGCATCCAAGTCTAGTGATTGAAAATCCAACATCAACAATGGCATCTGTGTCCGAGCTCGCCTGTATTTACTCCGCTCTCATCCTCCACGACGATGAAGTGACCGTCACCGTAAGTCTACCGGGGAAGCTAGTCCTGTTAGCCGGTGCGCTAGCTCACAGATTCCCGTTAAAAATATATGGGCAATATGTGATTCTTAGCTTCCAGTAATTTAGATATGCCCAAACTGTTCTTAAATAAAATGTAGAAAATTAAAATAACATTGATAACGGCTAATTTTACCGCCTATGTTATCAATATGGCGGCATACATGTAGCTATCGGGGCTTTTTCATAGTACTAGTGTGTGATGACTGGCAGTCACTTTTAATGTGTTCCTCAAAGGGCAGGACTTTATTTTCTCTTTATAATATGTCACACAGGGTGGTGAATACAAGGAATATGAATGAAATGCGGAAAAAGTTCGTTTTCCATCAGCATGCCTTGTCTGTTGAATAGACATGTGTGCTGGTGCTCATCTCTACAAGTGTTTCACTAGACATCAGTCTAAATATGTTCCCTTGCTTCATAGAAGTTATTAAACAGTTGTGTTAATATTTGAAACTCAGGCAGTGATTTTCGTAAAAGTTGAATTTAAAATTGACCAACTTAAATCTGATGGGGACTCATTTAAAAACAGTAAACAGCTATATAACATTTTAAACTGGCCTCACTTAGTATTGCAAACTGTATAACCCTGTGTAAAGAGGAAATCAGTTCACATATAGAAATAATATATATATTTTTTTCTATCTGTAGGAGGACAAGTTGAATGCTCTGATCAAGGCTGCTGGAGTCACCGTGGAGCCTTTCTGGCCAAGCCTGTTTGCCAAGGTAAGAGGCCTATTAAAACACATTATCTCTTACAGGTAAATATGTAACCAATTTAACCAAAGCATGAGTGTTAAATGACATCTGAATGTGTTTTTTAGTTTCAAAATTAAGACACTTGTTGCATTTACAATGATCAGAGTGTGATCATTTTTCTACAGGAACTTTTTTTTTTTTTAAGTATTTAGTAAAGCTACAAAAATGTGGCCACATTTCAAGAGTTCTTATTTCATTTTTAAAATTATTTTTTTATGTAAACATTTTCATAAAACTAGTTAACAGCTCTGAGTGGTTAAGCTTTTATCAGTTGATTCAATTGACCAAAGTGCATCTCTAGACAGCTTGCAGACAATCAAATACGGGAATCTGTTGGCATATCTAATCGAATTGTGGATTAGTAACCAAATTGACCATAAAAGTCACGGTAAAATGAAACTGGTCTTTTAATCTTCATAGATATTTAAAATTGATCCATTGTCAGCCAAAGAAGACAAATATCGAAATGCATGAGCTTGCATCTGTAATGTCCGAAATAAGCAAGATTATAGAAACACACTCTTATCCACGTCCTATTAGAGTTGATATAACCCAATAGGTTATCATAAATGGACCAGTTTCTCACACTTGTTGCAGACTATTGCTCTGTTTGGGTAATATTACTTGAGTTAGCCTTTTCTGTTAATAAACTACAAAAGAACTAATAAAACTAAGATTTGTTAATTTTATCTGTAAAGACTAAAGGATCTAAATCTTTTTTAGAATAACAAAATTGTATCGGGACACCCCTAACCAAAATTCACATTGAGGATTATTAATTCTTTCCCTATTAAGAACACTTAGGCTAATAGAAAGATGTAAAGAGTTCATATCATAACTAAAATAGGTGTCTGTTGGCAGTGGTACGTTTTCTTTGGTTGTTAATTAGAAATAATTATCCGTTTGTGTGGTTGTGTAGTTTTTGAAGTATTTGTAACAATGCTACAATTGACTAACGTTTAATTACTAAATGGTAATCATTGATACTGTAAGGGATTCTTGAACAGTGGTAAGTTTGTTCATAGTTTAAGCAGTTTTATGCACTAGTCAATCAATACAGTTTGGTTATTTTGGAGCAGCTGCTGCCGTAGCCTGCTCACCTTACTCCACTCTGGATCTTGGAATATCCGATAACAAACTTTGCCTGCCATTATGCAAAATTATGGGGGGAAATGGATAAATAAGCATTTTTAGAAGCAGAGACAGCTTTAAAATTGGCAATTTTATTTAGCACAAAACAGGAAGGGAGTATCAGCAACAACACAATTTGATTATTTGGAAGGGAGGACACAATTTTCCATTTACTGTAAAATAGACCCAGTGTTGCTTTTAGAATTGAATGAGGTCAATTTGAGCCTTATAAACAAAGATTTTTTCAAAGATTGTCATTGCAATTGTTGGTCAGCTCTAAAGTTAAAAGCATGTTTGTAATCTCAAATATTTCATTGTCATTTGCCAGGTCCAAAACTGGATCAATGAAGTAATGTTGAACTGTCATTGTAGGCTTTGTCCAGCGTTGATATCGGTAGCCTGATCTGCAACGTTGGAGCTGGAGGAGGCGCTCCTGCTGGGGCTCCTGCCGCTGGAGCTGCAGCAGCTGCTGATGCCCCAGGTAATACTCTCATATTCTAAGTTTATATTTATGTATAGTGCATGTTTCCTCAGGAGGCTCATTTGATTCGATTTAATTCTGAAAAGTTTTCTACCCAAGTTATACAATAGTGTTTCATTAAAGGCCTTATTATTAGGGTTTAACAGACTCACATCCTCAATAAAATAATCATAACGGCCAGACTCACAGAAAATGTCACTTAACTGAAACTGTTTTTTTGCTTTTGCAGCTAAAGAGGAGGAGAAAAAGGAAGAGAAGAAGGAAGAGTCCGAGGAGTCAGACGACGACATGGGATTTGGTCTCTTTGATTAAAATGTTTTTCTAAAAACACAATAAAAATGTGAAAAAGAAGCATGTCTGGTTACTGGCTCTCATTGCAAACGTTTTCCATTTCACAGCGAATGGTTGATTCACAGATGTATGCTTTCATTTCATCCAAATATTGAAATTGATGTAGGTTGCTGTTTTTTAGTGAGTTAGCAAAGGAGATGGAGAAAGAAAATGCTTTGGCGATGTTAAGGCTGCGAGATGTTTACAGATTGTTTTGTAGTTTTTGGTTTAATTATACAGAACATGAAAAATTATCTATCCTTTTATATCAAATTGCAATAGTAGTACAGCGTTTAGATCATCAGGCCATGAGCACATTTTAAGTTTATTGCCAAACTGAAGAAGCTAGATCCTTAAAATTATTTAGAAAAGAGACTAAAACATTTGAAATTAAGGAACCACCAGTTGCTTTCATACATTTAAATTCCAGGACAAATTAGATTTTTTGTTTTGTACAAGGAACCTAGTTAAATATAACAAAGTAGATCTTAGAAGCTTCAACCATGTTAATAAAGACAAGTCTTGGTGTTTCGTTATACATGTTTTCTTTTTAAAACTGACCTGAATAGGTATTTGGCTTTCGGTTCAGTTTGTGGATCTTTGATAAAACCTTTCCTTAATAGAAATGAACTTTTCTAATTTTATATATAAATGGGAAAATCAAGGAGATGAGCAGATGATCAGGTTTAAAATATATATATTTTTGTAATTTAATGGGCTGTGGTGATGTCTATTTAACTGTTCTTTTGGCGCCGCCTTTTAGCAAATAAGTTGGGTGGAGAGGTCAGTCCTACCAGCAGACCAAATTATTGTGGAGCAAAATTGATCTGCACAAAACCAACTCGACAAAGGAAAAGTAGGAGATGATCAGCAGCTCCTGTAGAAGGTTCATTGGCATGTCTTCATTTTGTCTGATCAAATGCCTTTTTCCCAGGGAGGGCTTGACCCTGGTTTGAAATGACGAAGAACCAAAACTGCATATTTGACATTTGTAAAGTTAATGTTCACAGACGAACCATAGATAAATCAAGGATATAACATACTTTAACGGGTGAACGGCAGAATCGTTGCCCCTGTTCTTGTCCAAAAATGAACCTTAAGGACTAGGGTTGCCAACGCCGTAAAAATTGGATAAGGGACAATGTCTCGTCACAATCAACCTTTTCAATTTATTTTTCCTCATGTATGAATTAATTTTATAAATATATTTGAGTTCAAGTTGAATTAGATTAGACAGCTAATTTTGTTTCTTAAATAGGGTCAGCTACATTTTTTAAGGAGAATTGGCTACCCTAATTTATTGCACATTTTAAAGGAAATGTAAAAATATTCCTACATAGACACAAAGCTGCATAGGTGCGATTTTTAATCATAGTGGAAAAATATAACTGGTATCAAATATCTTTTTAAGAGTAGATGGAATATGTATTATGAAACGAAAAGCCTAACTGCAACATTGAACAGGGGAAACGGCGCTCTCAAAATCCCTAAATCTCACCAGAGACCATAAATGGCGTTACCCAAGTGTCAATAAGGATGCAAAGAGTAATCAAAATACAACTGAAAAGGCAAAAGAATTGGTCACCAGAAATCAGTATGTCTTCTTATACTCTCTGTGTCCAGTGACACATAACGGTTTCCGTAGTGTAGTGGTTATCACGTTCGCCTCACACGCGAAAGGTCCCCGGTTCGAAACCGGGCGGAAACATATTTTTTACATTTCACGTTATTTATATTTCTTTTGGAGTCTAAGGCGATCCGATTCTGTTTTATTTTAATTTGTGTGGATCATAGGGGAAATCATCGTCTTGAAATCTTACCAGTAGAAAGTTCAGGTTGTGGGTTTTGTTGATCAAAATGCTGTGATTTTCCTGTAGTAAATAACCTGTTTGACTTACAATCCCATTACATAAGGGTAAAACAAACGAATTCATGTTTCTTCTTTAAGATTCAATTTAAAATATTGGTTTTATATATATATATATATATATTTCTTTGTTTGTTGCAAAGCCTTCAACCTGCTGATGCTACTGCTGCATATATCATTTTACAAATAAACAAATAAAGATGGTGGAAAGAGTTGAACCATTTATTCATCTCTGTATCCTCTGAAGTTGGATCAGCATTTATTTCTATTGAATTGATATCAAACACTTTTAACCAGGATTGAATTCACATGTCCACCTTAAACCAATCAACTTCAAGCATGGAGGATGAAAACCAATCGCCTGTTGGTTTAATTAAGTCTATGGTTATAAAACCATTTGGTTACTGGTTAAAAAAAATAGAGGGAAGCTTTAACTGTTGGCTTGAAAAAAGGGAATGAATTGGCAAAGGCTTAGCTTAACTAAAAGCTTATTGGCACCATGACCATCTTTCTAACTTTTAGCAAAGGTGAAATGCAGCTGTAAACTTGCAACAGAAAAGGAACATTATGAAAGTTTTTCTATTCTGGGCTATTCAAAGCCAAGACCTGATGATTCCTACACAACATAAGAGAACCCAAAACTCCTAAAATTATGTTAAATGATGTCATGATTATTGCAAATGGTGCACCGGTGACTTTACTTCAAAAGCACCAATAAAAAAAAATAATTCTGCTTCATAATATTGTTTTATTTGCTTGGTTTAGCAACTTTACATGTGTTTCCTTCATGTGAGAACTGCTTATGAGAGGTAGGAGGGAAGCGGTGAGAAGCTTAAAGGATGGGATAGGTAACGGATAAAGATGCTAAACAAGGGGAAAAATAAGAAAACATCTGTGCAGAGCGGGAGGCAAACAGGAAAAAAAGATATTTAGTTTCTATTATTTTGATCATTGGCTCATTATAATAATGATTGGTTAGCCAAAAATATTCTGGTACAACTAGAAAAACTTTTAAATTTGAAAGACAAAATGTGCAGACATTAATTTAAAACATTTATTTTGGTGAGAGCTTTAAAAGTAGGACAGCAGTTGATTTATTTTATTTAAAATGATAAAAATATGATCCTCCCCCTCGTATTTTCTCTCTTTCCTCATAGTTCATAACTCGGTTTTCTGTTAAATATAGACTTTCTTTGTATATTAATGTGAATGTTAACTTATAAAAGTGTCATGCAGCAAGTTTAGCTTGTTTTCCATAAAAAAAAACTGCTATAAAAAAAAAAGAAAAAAAAAAGAAAATCTGCTTTAATGGCACCTGAGATAAGCGATCTTAAGCAGGGGAAATGAGATGTTATGACTTCAGTGGGCAGCTCTACTGTAAATAATTATTCATAGAACAGGAAGACTGTGGATCTAATAGACATACTGTAATAATCAAGGCATAACATTAACAATATTATAGTTACAAAAGCACAGTTCAAATACAAAACGTCTTCATTGTCCTTTTCAACATGGCTTCAGTCCCACTGTTTGTGATGTCCTTCAAATCCTTTTATTTCATTTCTCTTTTTCCGATTTTTTTAATCAGTGTTCCTCTGGATACATCAGCCAACATGTAAAAAATAGAAAAATGGAATAAAACCACAAGTGATTCCGGATAGAAAGGAAGTCATGGATTTTTTCAGATGAGGGCTGATTGTTTCAGTCAAGTCTGCAGTCCAAACATCCATCCCTTGCTTTCATCTACCCATCACAGATATCCGCCAAACAGTCTGTGAGCCGGTCCACTGGTCTCAATGCTCTTTGGCACGTCCTGATCCTGGACTATTGTGGGCGGAGCTGGGTGATCATCTTGAGTCGTGATTGGTCGATGACGTCCAGCAGGTTCTTGGCATCTACTGCCAGAGCGTGAGCGGCCATGAGCATCTGCTTCTTGTAGTCCTTTTGTAAACTGTCCAGAACAAAGAAAACCTTTAGGATCTGCGTCCATATGAAGACATCAACATGTCCCAGGAGGAAATCATTTCCACCCAGCTTGTTCTCACCTTGTCATGACGTACTGTTGTGCCAGCTTCATCTTTGATATCAACTCGGCCAAGTCGGAATTCAGCAGCTTCTGGGCCATTTCAATCTGTTGGTCAGAAATAAATCACCCACACGCTCATACAGAGACTTATTTTTCTACTATTTAAACTTTCAAACATTTTGTCACTTTAGAATCAGAAACTTTCTACTGGATCTGACTTTGTTCATCTTCATGATGCTGTTTGTTTAATGATATTCTCTAACCACCTCAAGGGCGTCACAGAGAAGCGGAATTTAATCAAGTTAATTAAACATCTGGATTACTGAATGATGTCTAATGGTGCTTATTTTCATTCAGGCATGGGGTTTAACAAATATGCAGTCCAAACCTTTTATTTTTTTTTATTTCTAAGACAAAAAGACACTTAGTTTTGGTCTATCACATAAAACACTATATAGATTGTGACTTAAAAGTGATATAATTCTGAAAAAGTTCACGTGCTATGAAGCATTTCCTGTTAACCTCCTAAAATCCACATCATTTTGGGTAATCCTCACCTATTTTGCATAGCCAAATGGAAAAGCAAATAACTTAGGAACTGTAAGCCCAAATTACATGTGCAATACATTATTTGAAAAACACCCTGTAGTTTCCTAATATATAAATTAAAATTGGGTGACTAGAACGCAGACCAACTTGCATCTGTTCAAACATGACTCAAAGTTTTTTTTTTTTTATTATTCTCAGAAATGATTGGTCTTTATTGAACAGCAGTAATAAAGATATTCTTCAGAAAAGGCAGGTTTTATTGTATTATATTTGTTCTACATCATGTCAAACACAAAATGCAGAAAATTTCAGACCTCTAGCTATAACAGTTCTAGAGCTGTGGGGTATGGAACTTTTGGTGTCAGCTTGAAGCTGCGCACAATGGCTCCACCTGCTGGTAAAAATTTTACCAGTGGAATTTTATGCATTCTGAATTATTACCCCCACTTAAGGGTTTTAAGAGGTTAAGATCAATCATGATTGCTCTACATTTAATGATCAGAGCGTCAAAATGCATTTTTATGCAACCTGTGGATGGGTGTACCTCTCTGTGTGTGCTGGCTGGAAGCACAGGAATCGTTTCATCCACTGTTGCCAGTAGAGTCCTCAAAGCCAGACCAACATCCTGTCAAGAAAAGAATAACATCCACATTTGATTGATTTCCCTTTTAAATAAGTTTTATCCAGACTAAATGGGCCATGTGGAAAACTGTCCCGTACCTTGACCATGGGGACATACTCCTCAGGAGCAGCAGGCTGGATCCTGTTGGACATCTCGATCACAGCTTTGACCAGCCCCGTCACGTTCTCGTACACTTTGTCGTTGGAACGATCCAAGTTGGCTGTGGGGGGTGGGCTGATCTCCTGTGGCTGTAACTGTACCAGTTCATCACATTATGAGCAGGAGGTCATGACCACAACCTCAAGTAGATTTAGTTAGTTTATCTTACAAAGATGCATTTCTGTAATTAGATTATCAAAAGACGAAGGATTGCTCAGGTGGCATTAATTGCAGTACAGAGACTAAACACTGGGGGGCAGTATGGTCAGAGATAGTACAAAAACAAAGAGCTCAATGCTGTAAAGTGTTAGTAGCTCTAATTGCTATAACTAGATGAAATTTCTACAGTGATGAAGTGTTAATACAGATAAGTTTAAAGGCACATGGCATTTTGGGTTATTTCTGCTCTTAAAATTGAAATATCATCGTATTGTAGAGACAGAAAACTGCAAATATTAAATATCAAACATCACCATAAGTCTAAAAATAAAACTTTATCAGTTTTTCATATTAAAATCTGATTTTTTGACAAAAAAGAGGCATTGGTGCTAAACCAGTTTTTTTTGTTATTGTATTTTATTGAAACATTAGACAATAATAATAATAATAATAAAAAAAACAATGTAGAAATAAAGGGGGAAAAGTCTATAAAGTCTATAAAGGGGGAAGAAGACTATGCTTATTTAATACTATCCCTAATATACGATTATTATTCCATCCATCCATCCATCCATCCATCCATCCATCCATCCATCCATCCATCCATCCATCCATCCATCCATCCATCCATCCATCCATCCATCNCATCCATCCATCCATCCATCCATCCATCCATCCATCCATCCATCCATCCATCCATCCATCCATCCATCCATCCATCCATCCATCCATCCCCACTTGGGATCATTATTATTTAGTGCTAAAAAGATAAGCAAGAACCCTTCCATATATGAATAATGGCAACATTTATGTAACAGCTACTTATCATTGCCAACAGAAAACTGATCATTCTGCTTAAAAGAAAAGTTTTTTTTTTATCAAATAAATCAGTTCCATGTTTGGTCTCTGATAAGGACTGAGCAGAATGCAAACAGTAATACTTTCAAAGATGTTTTTAAGCAGGATGATAGTAAAATGTATGAATGCAAACAATAAAAAGTCATCCTCCTTTTTCAAATATTTTTTCTCACAGAAATAAGAAGCTTTTTAGAATATTGGCTTTAAGGAACCTAAAGATCTCCCAGTGAGAATTGAGAACATAAAGGCATTTCTAGTTTTTTTTTTTTCTAGGCATAAAAATTCATTGTTTCAAAAAGTCGCTTACTTTCTAGATACATTTTTTCCAAACAAAATATTTTCTAGTATCCAGATATCCCTTAAATATTGTAAAGTTTCTCTTTCAGATCAGTTTTTGAAGATGTTTAACAGCCGCTTGTTGCTGAGCTGAATGATAAAAGAAGATTTGGTATCATTTATTAAAACTCCTTTAAATACATCATATATGATTCATTACACTGAAGAGACTTCAGAGTTGGCGTGATGGTTTCCTATCAATAACGTTTTAATGATGTAGTTAATAAAGTGGACATGCTTGTCATATGGCCTTATAAAGTAAAAAAAATGACACTTTAAAACTGCCATTGTTAGATTTAACAAAACCATAAAATTACTCACTATTATAGAAAATTAAATGCAAACAAATTATTTGCAGAGTGCTACACTTAAAGGAATCAAATGAACATGTCTTCATGACATTTAGCTAAATGCTGCCATAATCTTAGTTCTTTAAGTTATAGTTCAGACTTTTAAATCCTGCAATGGTTGCCATGCTGCTGGATGTCCAAGGCTGGAGGTAAAACTGTCATGTGACCATGTTTATCTTAAATACAATGATAAGGATTGACACTAATTTGGTGTTCCAGATTAAGCAACATCCCTCTCAGGCCTTGTCTAGGAGTGATGGACTAAAAAAATTATAAAATTAACATTTTCAAAGTTAAACAAGTGGATAAAAATGAGTTGTCCTGCTCTCTAGTGTAGCACTAAGATGGGGTGATGGTAACTAGCAGCTAACTAACTCTACGGCAGTAACAGACACACATAGATCTGCTTACCCTCCACGGCTACAAGGAGTTAAGATGATGAAAAGAGAATAGAAAGTGTATGGTAAGGGTTGTGTGATTTAATAATGAGTCAATGGATGCAAAATAAATACATAAATAAAATAACAGGAATGAGAGAAAAAGTAGAAACAGGTTTAAAGTGAAAAGAAGTGTTAAGAGGGAGGAGAGAAGAAGGAAAGCACATTAGGGCCAAAGCCAATCGCATCTAAACAGGACAAGGAACAGCATACACCCATAAACATAATGTGTCAATTATTTATATATACTGAAAGAAATCTATGATCAAATATTTTGTTTCCAAAGTTTCTCTTATTTTGCAACTTAGAGTGACGCCTGCATTCACGCTCACCTTGACTCCATCGTTGTAGCTGTCCACTGTTGGGAGGTTAGTGAGGTTGGGGAGGTGAGCCGGAGCCCCAGGACGGGGGGGCTTCTTAGGGGGGGCTACATGTTCTGAACAAACACAAACTAGTGAATTTAAAAGGCATCAAAATGTCAATTTCCACAAAGACAGCAGCAGAGTAAACACCTGTTTTTTTTTTTTTTTTTAATAAAACAAATTTCTTTATCTTATTATATATTTGAACATCTATATCTTTAAGTGTATTTTTAGTGTAATATTATTCATGAAAATATAACAGATTTCTCAAAAACAAGACTTTTTAAATATCTACTTTCCTATAATTTATCTACTCAAAATAATCTTGTATGGCACAGATTTACAGAAGAGATTCTATATCCGTGGTATAAAATATGATATTTTTTTTATCTCTTTCATGAACTAATTTCATTATTTCTTCTTGTATGCATTCATTCATCTGTTTATTCAATGCATTCATGCGGGAATGGATTCCCTTATCCATGCATGTATTAATTGGTTAATTCGTTCATTACACAAAGCACTCATGCATGTATCCAGTGGTATTTATTATGTCATTTCTGTGACATTCATTCTGCACCTACTGAAAAACATTTCATGATTTACTTGGAGAAGTTTAGAAAGAAGATAACAGTAATACACCATAATATAAGAGAGAGTAGAATTTATATCTGGATAAGTAAGGAGTATATGTAAAAAATAATAAGTTCAGCATACTAACAATAGTAAGGGCATTAAATAATAATTCATTATTTCTCTAATTAAATTCTGAAATCTTAATTTTATATTAATCAGTGTGTATCAGAAGAGTTATTTTATGTACCTGGTTTGCCGACAGGCTGATAGATATGTTGACTTCCACCCTGTTCAAACAGAGACAAACAGAGTTTAATGTTATTTTACCAAAAAAAAAGAGAAAATGTATTTAAAGAAGAGAAAAGATCAGGCAGAAGCTGAGTTTCAGCGACATCATAAAAAGCAGTTTTCTCTGAGTTTGCCGTTCCCATGGGTGCTCTGTGGTTAGGTGGTTGGTATGTAGGGACACAGACAGACAGAAATACTCTCTCTGCTTGCTCTCCCTATGATTTCTCGTTTCTCATGAATGAAATCCTCCCTCAGCTTTTTCTCTTTCCAGCAAATCCTCATTGTCCCTGTTTGACCTGTTTGTCTATTAATAACAGATCATTTTAAAGTTCACGGTTCACATACATAAAAAGTATATTTTGGACACTGTTACACTGACCGGTACTTGTAGTGTGCCGTCTTCTCTGTCGATGCTGCCTCTGCTGTTCCTGGACTCTGCTTTCTGCAGAAAACAAAACACTTAAAACCAAGCATGCACCTGCAGAAAAGTTAGCAAAAAGAAATCAGAAATAATGAACTAAATCATGAATTAACACATTCTGATCGGTAATCTTACAACAAGACATTACAAACTAAACAGTAAAAGTAAAATCTGAAGACATTTGTGCTTCTTCCAGCTTCTATCTTTCTGCCTCGGTACCGTTTTGGTGAAGCACGCCTTGAAGAGATGCATCCTGAAAGAAGACAGCGTGAGGAAGACGGGCCATCGAAAGAAGAGTCCGGACAAGGACAAAACGTTTTAGAGCAAAAGACTGACCAACAAGCTGAAAACACTAGACGGGTTAGGAGACGGAGAAAATAAATGAAGAGAGGGAGAAAAACTGAGTCAGAGGGGAAAGAATTGGGGAGAAAAGATGAAGAAGATTTTTTCCAGAGAAAGAAAAAGTTCCACTGAAGCACGGAGACAAAATCCTGGAAAAGAAACGATCCAACTGCATCCCTCTCTTTTCTCTCCTCCGCCTCCCCTCCCACTCTTTCCATCCCCCTGAATCTCCCTCATTCCTCCCTGTGCGCTGCTTGTGCCAATCCCACTTCCTTTCTCCCTCCCTCTGTCCTCCTCTCACACTTTGTGTCTCTTTCTGCTTTTCTCCTCCTCACTTCTTTGACTGACGTTTGAATAACCACATAGAATCACAATACTTCCTTTTTCAGGAGAAATCAACTTTTTCTTTCACTGAAGCTCAAGCCATCATTAAAATTATGTTAGCATTACATATAGTGTAATAAAAGAAAGAATACACCCAAAATCCAATGTTAAAACTAATAAAAAAAAACAAGGTTTTATTAAACTTACCCTCAATGCATATAGATCAAACATCTTTCTACTAAATATGAAAACTTCTCAGCCATTTCATGAATAAGGAGATTTATTCATGCATCCTGATGCACATTCAAGTATAAAACAATCACTCTGAACACTATAGACTATAGACAGAAGGCAATAAAAGCATAAAGATTTTTAAGATCCATCCATTTACTGTCAGGGTCATAGGGGCTAGTGCCTACTTCCAGCAGCCTATGGTTGAGAGAAAGGGTACAACCTGGGTCAGAAGGGTAGTTTAGAATCACTAATCAACCAAACAGTTGTGTTTTTGGACTGTGGGACGTAGCTGGAGTATTTGGAAATAAACCCACATTTGCACAGCGGGAACATGCAAACAGAAAGACCCCAGGCTGAGACTTATTTCCAGGACCTTCTTCATGCGAGGCAACAAGACCATGGTGCAGCAATAATAAGCATAATTTAAAAAGAAAAGAAGAAAAAAAGTCCTTAAAAAATATTGTTTCTAATGTATATATTACTTATTATTCTTATTTAAGTTGCATGAAGTGTCTGTGCATCTTAATTTAGCAGTTCTGTCTCTGCAGTAACTAACATATCACATAAAACAGAGGTGTCATCCCTTAAACACGGTTCAAAATTGGAAAGACAAGAATACATGCTATTTATATAAAAAAATTATTTAGCAAATTCAGTTTGTTAATTAAAATAATTGAAATAGTCAACGGTGTCCTTAGCGACATCAGGAGGGTATAAGAGGTGACTAAATTTATAGTTAAAGAACTGCAACAAAAAGTGGTATCATAAAGAAAAAATGAAAGTCTTCAAACAAATTTTAAATTAAAGGTGTTTGATCACCTTTTTTACCGCCAACATGTCCAGCTACAGACACGCCTACAAAGAAAGTGCTGAACCAGTTAAGTTGTTTTCTACTCTGAAGTTAGGAATAATCAAATGATTTGAAATAATTAAAATACACCCACTGTGTTGGGGTGTTTCTTTATATAATTACTTAAATACAAACTCTCCCTTTGCAGCCTAGTAGAGAGCTGAAGTTTATCCGGTTTAAGACACCACATAGAGTCCAAGTCTAACCGAAAAAAGTAATAAATATTATCACTTTATGCACACTCATTTAAACATAATAAAACATTAGTTTCTACTCATCTTTACTATGAAATTACTGAACTTTTCCAGGTTCTCAGTTCTTAATCTTCGTGTTATAGAATAAACTATTCAAGTTCAAAATGTTCAGGAGAAATGGACAATTATTAGCAAAAAATATAGAATCAGGAAAAAAAAAACAGAAACTGGTAGGAAGAAAGGGATGTAGAATATAAACATGAAATAAAGGAAGGATGTAGGACAGAAAGAATGTGAAATGGAGGACGTTCCCTCCATTTCACATGGAGGGAACGTCCCATCCATCTGAAGAGATGAAATGACATCAGCCTTCAACACTTGTGGATTTTCTTGTCTTTAAATCCACTGACGTCTCGCTGAACAGCCCAAAGTACAGCCAGTCACACAAAGAAACAAAGGTTTGAGTGAAATGGAAAAACAGGCCTACAAAGAGCTGCTTTTTGGATGGTTTTAGTGTCTGATGAGATAAATCAAAGCTTCACAGCAGAGCCAGGTTAAAGATCTGAAAAAGATATTTTGCAGCTCTCCTGGCAACAACAATCAGGACAGAAAGCCCTGCTGACACAGTAGATCCAGAATTTATCATCTTGTTTGTTTTTATTTCTTGCTCATGCATTCTTTTACTATTTAAAAACACATTTTGTCTCAACATTAAAATGTAATTTATGCTGATTTTATCGGGGAATGTAGATTTAGCTTCTTTTTTATGTTAATCAGGGTTTTACATCTTTTATCTAAGACACTGTTCCTATGGTGTAAACATTCTTTCTTAAAAAAATGGATAGACAAGAAAATGAGGTAGATGTGTGTTAAACTACATATGCTAAGAAATGGCTACAAGAAGATAATGAGTTGCCTGAATTTACTAATATCTACATAAATAGAGCCATAATATGCAAAAGAAACAACTGGATCTGTGTCAGAGAGCCAGTTTACACTGAAATTAAACTTTATAACAACATTTATGAGGGTTTGGCACAGATATGATTTTTCTAATAAAACGAGATATTTTAATCTTACAATAAAAAAAATTACAAAAAGGAAAAATAGCGATTTAATCCTGAGTATCATATGCCACTGTTTTAATAGTTATATAATATTAAAACTAATTGTTTTAATATTTTGGTTTTAGCTCCATTCATCTTCCTGCTAAACTCTTTACTCAGTATGATGCTGCCATTACCATGTTTTACTACTGGAATGATGTTTTCTTAGTGATTTTTTTTCCACCATAATGTTTTATACAAAAGGCTTAACAGTCTGGGAGCTTTTTTCTTAATATTTTGCCCCATTTTTATCTTTTTTTTTACAACTAAAGGTGAGTCAAGAACCACAGAAGAGGAGGATCACAGAGGTTATTAAAAGGAGAACATTTCTAAGCATCACGGTTCCTACGTTGTGTTCCATTTCATCACACCAGGTGTGAACAACACACAGATAAAGTGAAAATAATAGCTTATATTAGCCACTTTTTATATCAAAAATCAAATTTGCTTTGTGTCTGTTTAATTACCATGAGGCTCTCCTCCTGCTCCAGCCACCGTCGGTCTTCCTCCATCTGCTGCTGCTGCTTCATCAGCGTCTCCTCCATCATAGCCTGGCTAACACACACTCTCTCCTTTAGAAGACAAAATCCAGATACAATTTAGCTGATGACTCGGAGCGGGCTGCTGTAGAAAGATGGCGGCTGAAACACATTCAAAACTAACAAGAAATCATGGATGAAAAGTTCTGATCCAACAAATTTCCCTTCTTCTGGTTTCCAGTTAAACTAAAACATTTTTTAGTTCAAACTTAACTATCTTGGAAGAGCCAAACATATTCTTAAAAATTGTATATGTGCTTCCTCCTAAATCAAAACTAAATAATGTAGCATTTATAAATGAGACTAAGGAATCTGAAAAAGGCTTCTGTCACAACTAGTGGAGGAAACGTTTGTTTTTTTACCTCCATATTTGGGTTCCATAGGGCCGTATGTTCGGGTCTGAGCTGATTCCAGGAATCAGGGGGAGGATAGCTGCCCCCTACTCCTCCAACACCACCATGAGCTGTCGGCTGGATGAGGGGGGGTGAACACAGGACAAGTTGAAATTCACAAATAAAGTCACAGATAACTTTTTGCTAGGTTAGAAACTGAATTTTATCAGAACCATTGCTGATTGCATATTTCTATGCAACTAATTATGAATCAGACATGTTTTTGAAAGTGCTCAGACAACCAAACTGAAGCCTTTAGTCTTATATATAATGAACTGTGTGGCTTCATTACTGATTTATCATTCAAATATAATAAGAGTCTTTATAAGCATGATAGTGAGAGTAGTTTTTTGACTACTCTCACTATCTCACTATGAAGGAGCAGAGGGTGGTTCTGATTTGTGTCTGCATGGCCATGTGTGAGTAGCTTTCAGCACAACAGGAAATGCCTCATGTCTGCTCAGTTCACGAGGAGAGGATTAGGAACATTAATTTTTCTCTTCAGTCTCTTCTGCCCTGTTTTGACTCAGAGCAACAGACTCTGTGTGACAGATGCTGATCTGTCGGTCCAGGGTTAACAGAACTAAACTACACATCCTCACTACTTATGACTAAAGAAAATACTATCAAATAAAGTAACTAAGCTTTTTGGGAGTTTAGATTTCACCTTTTCAAATGAATCTGTGTTGCACAACTCTTTTTGAGTACACATTTCCCTGTGTTGTAAATGTGTTTTTTCTGAAAAATGTGAAATACAAGAAACTGAGGAAGAATTGTGTTGATATTTATATGTAAGGAAATATCTACAAGAATATAGTGAGTAACTGGAATGGACTACTTCTACATTCAGAGCAATAATATGTTGAAAACAACTTGACCTGTGTCAAAAAAAAAGACTGGATAAGGATCCAGTTTACGCCATGATCGAACTTTATATCAATATTTATGAGGCTTTTGAACAGATCTCTTTTCTTATAACACAAAAAACAGCAAACAACAGCAAAAAAGTGTGAAAAAATGTTTTTCTCCTAAGTATCAAACACCAGTGTTTTACTTTTTACATTGCATTATTACCCAGATCTGGTTTAGTTACCTGGAAGTGGTTGTGCTGCGGGCTGGAGAAGAAGCCCTCACTGGTGCGAGGACTTGGGTAACCTGGTCGACTGGGCTAAAAACAAAGACACCAGACATCAGTACGTTTGTCCTCATGTTAGGATGCCTCAGAAAGACAGAAAGTGACAATCAAAGAGAAAGAAAAGGTTATTATGTCTGTGAGATCTTACTTTAGGTGGAGCTTCATCTGAACCTCCAGAGTCCCAGGAGACAGTGACCTGCCTCCTCATCTCCCCCCTCAGTCTCTCCTCTTGTTGAATCTTCTCCTCCTCCAGTATAGTGCTGCCAAAGTCCATCAATAATGTCACAAATATTGCTTAACCTGTTTATCTGATATGAACTAATTATTAAACTGAAGACCTCAAAAACATCCTCCCTTCACTTCAAGAGCTGAAATACAAAAATCATCCTCATCTTATACTGCAAATGCCTTTCCTGCAATTACTTCACAGATTTGCAACAATGCAGTTTTCTAGAGGGTTAAAATCTAACTCCTCCTAAAACGAACATTGAAGTCTGGATTCCTGCTAACAGAACCCTGCAAAGGGCCAGAGAGCACATGACAGCTATCTAAAAGAACAGATTAAGATAACTGGTTTGACTGATTTTATACAGCTCACTCCCTTTATTTAGAAAAAGGAATGAGCTATTGATTTATTATAAGGATCATTTAACAATTTCAATCTATTTAGAAAAGATGTGATCTACAGTCATTAATGGAAATAATGTAAAGAAGCTGATACCTTTGTTTTAAAACCACTGTTAAGATAGATGTTAATAAATGAATTAAATATGCATTTAGTATTGCATTGGAAACATGAATGAAAGAGGTTTTTTAGAACTATAAAAAATGTAATATATATATAATTCTTAGTATAATAAAAAAAGTCAAATGTAGGCTAAAGCATCATTTTTGGGTGACTTTTGTCAAAATCCTAATATTTGAGACATCTGATTTAGGAAACCTAAAGAGTAAATGCAGTATTCCATAAATGACATTTCAAACCACAAAGAGGCAGCATTTCTCCCTCAAGACTGAGGGCCTGATCTTTAGGTTAGCGTGTGTTAAAACAGGCACAAATGTGTTTGTATGCACAAAGCAGATCTTTAAAAGGAGATGCAAAGTGTGTGCCTTCATCAGATGTAAACATTTACCACGAAGCAATTTTCTGCGTGTAAAAACTAAACAGAAGCTGCAGTTATTGTGTTTTTTTTCTTCTGAAAGTCAAGCGCAAACTGACCTGCAAAAATATCTGCGGTCACTGTAGCAGTAAAGGAGGCACTGGTACAATGCCAGAGGATAGAGAGAGATTCAGTGTGCATGTAAACATATTTGGACTGTCAGAAATAGTAATAATAGTTAAATAATATCAACACAAAACAAAGAGTGGAGACAAATTATTCCAGGCATACTATATTTTATACACTCAAACCCAAATGGGAAAAAAAATGACCGAACTTAAATGTTGTGGCAGGTTTCTAAAAAAGATCAAAAGCCTGTAAACATAGCAGGGTTAAAGTACGCATATCGGCACCCGTTTTAAGACACACAGACTTTATCATGTTTTATGACATTTAATTAATTTGGATTAAACTTTATTAGTTTCATAATTTTTGTTTTATTTTTGTTTGTAGTTCTTACAGATATGCTGCTTTTGTAAAGTGCTTTATAAATATTATTAAGTTTTATCATTGTTATATTTTAAATAGCTTTCTTCAATATATCCTCCACTTACATGTCTTAGAACCTCATCTTTCTTTATGGCCACTCTCTCACTGCAAGCAGAACATCTCTGCTCATTTTAATGGGAACCAAATGAGTTTCAACATCTTAAATTTGTGCAGCAAATCACATAAAATACACCCACTTATTGCACGTACTAAAAAACAAAAAGCAGGGTCAGTTGTTTAGCACTATACAGGCGGTGACATTTCAGTTCTGTGTCTGCAGAGAACCCTTCAAATATACACTTCCTTGCTCTAATTTCATCCTGCTTTATTGAAAACCTCCATTTTTGCGTGCGGGCTTCACTAAGATATACAGAGGAACGCTTGTTACCTGAGCTGTGTTTTGAGTTCAGTGAAGCGCGGCCTCTTGCTGGGGTCGTAAGACCAGCATTTGGTCATCAGGCTGTAGAGGGTGGGCGGACACTGAGGAGGCATAGCAAGGCGCTCCCCGTTCTCTATCCTGCCGATCACATCGTTGTTCTTCACCCCCTGGAAGGGCTTAATGCCGTACATCAAAATCTCCCACATACACACACCTGAAGGGAGAAAAGACAGTGATAGGAAGCATATGATGATGCGTTAGACCAAGAAATTTCTTCACACATTTAATAGATCAACTTTAGGCCTCATCATCAGGTCAGATTTAAAGAATAGTTACATTTACGTTCCTGAAAATTTTAATTAGGTATGTAACCTCATCTTAACACAGGTTTACACACATAATCAATAATTAGTCAGATTTAAAAAGAGACAGCACAGAAACATAAATCGAACTCACCAAACATCCACACGTCACTAGCAGAGGTGAATCTCCTGAAGTTAATAGATTCAGGGGCCATCCATTTAATAGGCAGTTTACCTTTAGAAGCTGAGAAAAACACATTGGATCATTGAATATTTTAAGTAAATCATTAGTTATAGAAACCAATGAATCTTGCTCATTAGGCTGATTAATGGCAGATTGAAATTTCTTTGAATGAGTGACTGCAGTTTCCTGATGTAACCAGTAGATGGTGGTAAAGTAAAGGTAAATGAAGCGTCTCCAGCTGCTGATTTTTTACTCTACTATGCCTTTTGAAGCAGGTAGATTTCCACATAAAGCCTTTATAGTTTGAAAATGTGGGAGAGGTACAATTAAAACGATGAATGAGTTTATTGACCATAGTAAACTGCATTTAGTTCCCTTACCTTTGTAGTAGGAGCTGTCCTCCATGTATCGAGATAGGCCAAAGTCTCCAAGCATCACGCAGTCCACAGAGGAGACCAACACATTACGCGCTGCTATATCTCTGTAACAGAATATCTGTGCTTAGCTTTAAATCCGTAAACCAGTCATGTTACATTCTGTGATGCAAGCTTTTGCCAGTTTCAAATCATTATGATTCAGCTTTGAAACTAAAGTAATTTACGGTTTAAATCAAACCTAATTACCCATTAAATTTATTGTGTTTAAATTATTAATGTCAGAAAGTTAATAAATATCAGTAGATATTACGCTGCCAAGATATGGGTGTGTAAGTACACACCCTTACTAATAACGATAGTTGTAGGGTGACAAGGTTAAAAAAGAAAAAAAGAAAAAAGTGGGACAACTAGGATTTAGTTGGACAAAAAAGCAGGACAGATGCTGCGGTTTAGTAGTGCATTTCCTTTTCATTCTAACTTTTATAGTGTTGCTTTGCATCGTGCCCCCTATATTTCACATTTTTCAAATGTATCACATTATAAAAAATTTATTTAATAAACTTCACAAAAAGCTCTCTGACAACTATCTTTCACCTGCTCACAGTTATAAACCTTTCCATGTTTTGTTTTAGCTTCATTTTCTTTTCTTTAAACATAGTTTCCATCATTCTCTGTATTAAAATCCTTTGCCTGTTCTCTTCAAAGCATCATGTGCAGCTTGGTCATGAAGCGGGGCACTTGGGCAGCTCTGTGACAATGACTGCAGCTCTGCTTTCTTTGCATTTAGGAAAACCACCTGTGAATATTTTTTTTTTTTACTTTTTCCCTAATTTTACCCAGTCAAATTCAGTTTGTGGGACAGTGAGATAGAAGTGAAAAATGTTGGACTGTCCCACACAAATCAGGTAATTTGGTCACCCTAGATACTAGTGATAGTAATGCTATTCTACGTCTCCTAGAGTGGAGGATTTTCTTTAAAAGTTTATAATTGCTTCAATAAATCCTGCCCTGTTTTAAGTTCCAGTTTAGTAATATAAGCTGGCAGCAGTTAGCTCTCAACAATGTTTATGCCTCCTGAAGGCTCAAAAAGGACAAGAAGAAGACAAATGCTTGGCGTTTATTCCTTTATTCTAAAATGAATATATGGGATCTCTCTTTTTCATAGACCCCTTTAATAAAACCCAAGAAAGTTGTCTTAATAAACTAGTTAATAATATATTTCACAAAACTTTAAGGAGTAAAAACCTGGCATTTTTACAAACACAATCCTCCTGAAATTGTCTTTTAAATCATCCAAAACAATTTTTAGGGGGATAAAAAAAAGTTAAATAACTCAATCAGACCCTTTGACTTTAGTAACATTAGCAGTTTACCATTGTTTCCTGGTCTCCGGCACAGTAGGTAAAGAAATATACTAACAGTAACACTGAATGCCTGCAGGCGAGTCCATGATAGCTAAAATCGCCCCTTTTAGTGGAACAGAAAATCCCACTTTTAGGATAATGTGGGTGTTTCTGGTTTGCACAATGAGCCCACTTTAGAAAAACAAACCAATGTCACTGAATTTTGTGACAGGTTTTAATCGAAGCTCAACCCCAAGACACAAGTTTTAACTTGAAAAAGTCTGATATTCAGGTGATGAATCCTAAAAGTTAACTTTATAACTTGCTGAAAAATGTTCAACCTACATTGCATCAAGGTCCTATTTTTTCCAGAGCTCAGAAGTGAAAGGCAAAAAAGAATTTTAGCTTTCAAGATGATTTTTTTTTTACCCTTGACATAAATTGTTTAGACCTTTAGATGTTTTCTGTGTCAGCGAGAAGAAGTTGATGGTTTTACCTGTGCACAAAGCGTTTGCTCTCTAGATAGGCCAGCGCTGTACTGAGCTGATAGGCGAACAGAATGAGAGTGGCCAAGTCCAGGCTGTACTTCTTTACCTGCAGGAACGACCGTAGCTACATGCAAATACAAACACAGAGATGTTAATATTTATCCTCATTTTAAAGATAAAAAATGGTGAAACGTGCATCTATGTATATTATGTCTTGGTTCTTCAACAAAACAACAGCCTTAGGTGTACCTCTCCAAGTGTGCAGAGCTCCATAATGATCCACACTGGGTTCTCTGTGATCACACCGATCAGTTTGACAATGTGAGGATGGTCGAACTGACGCATCGTTACTGGAAATCAAAGATAAGTCAGCGCTTCCTGAATGCAACTGAAATAACATGCAGAAACACACAGATTGATGTCTCACAGGCTTCTTGAAGGAACTTCTCTCTGACGCTGTCGGTGGTGCAGTTCTTGCAGGTTTTGATGGCAACGGGCAGAGGCGGTTTGTCCTGAGGAACACAGAGTGGTAGACTGACATAAATGAGCAGAACTTAGCATCAAAAATAGTTGGCACATAAAAGCAGGTTTCCCCATCTGATGAAATCAAATATTTGACAAGTTGAGGTTGTGGGATAGATTTCATATCTGTAACAATAGAAGAAAATAAAATAAGAAAGATTACAAATAAGAAAAAAAAAAACCTGTCGGTAAAAAAAAAAAAAAGAAAGTTAGGCTGTTCTATTTTTATTTCTACATATGAACAAAGCTGACTTTTTTGGCATTTAATTACACAGGATTATGAAAAAAAAATTCTACTTTAATTACAAATAGATGGAGAATAATCTTGTTTTTTTTCAGACAGAAATAAAGGCAGACAGATGTCCAGGATCCTGGGAACTGTCGTCTATATAAAGCATGAGTATCTACTGCTGCTGGCTCTATCTAACAAGCTGAAAACATAATTCCAAGCAAAGTGTCAGCTCACATTTGGACTTTATTAGTCATCAACTATTGCATTGCAAGCAGTCATTGCCAATATTACTATTTCTACAATAACATATTTTTATGAATTACCAATTTTCAGAAAACCAACACAATTAGTGCAACAATCAACAAGTTACAGCATTAACTTGGACATTAAAAGAATCTCTGTCCTGGAGGTAAACCAAAGCTTAGGGTCTTTCATATTTATTTCTTGTTTTTCGTATTCTGTGGTCTTCACAGTGGGGATCCAGGATGTCCCAATTTAGGATAAACGTGCACCTTGGTGGTTTGTGATTGTTCTGATCATTCTAACCATTATCCCAATCATCTGGACAGAGATCGTTCTGTTGGGACGGGTCAAATGGAACAAAGCTGGGTGCCCAAAAAAACACACCCAAGCAAGTTTTGGATTGAATAAAGCAGAATAACCTTAAGGTTCAAACAATATAAAAATTTCACACACCCCCAGCTTCCTGCCTTGGATGACTAATCTATTGTTCGTCAAGTAAAAACAAAGAGCAGCATGTTTTTAAAGAAATCAGTGTTTAAACAATCCATTTCCTTCAGTGAGTGTTCAGTTCAGCATACCGGGCAGTTGTAGACTCCTTGGTGAACGTCGCCAAATTGACCCTCTCCGATGCAGCGACCCAGCTCTATCCTGTCTCTCTGAATCTCATAGTCCCGTGCTGAGAGGGAAGGATGAGAAGGGAGGAAAGACAACGAGAGGAGGTGAGAACAGCGCCTTCACCTGTTGCTTTTCATACAACAGACTCTTGTTTACAGTGATTGTTTTAGACGAAAGGGATGGATAAAAATTGGCTGTAAATGCTGAGCTCTTAGGTAAACTAATCTCTACCCAGTGTTAAAACTGAAAAGGAAAGAACTTGGAAAGGCTCCTGACTTTTAACTTAACATTTGTAAGCATCGTGGACCGAGAAAATCTGCAACAAACGATCGAAACTCTGAAAACCAGCTTTATCATTATTACAGATTCTTTGCATAGAGCAGATAATAACCTGAAGAGGTTAGAGATGAAAGCATTTTAAAGACAATCTTAGGTGTAATTTGCCTCTCACTTATGAACAGATGTGCTGTATTTGGTCTGGTCTCTGCCTGCACGTACTTTCTTTTACAATCAGGGAGCGTACCCACAAGAATCCAGAGGGAACTGATTAGTTTTGAAACAAAACCACATTCTTTGACTTTCCAGTAAAGAATAAATGTATGTTCTGCTCCTGAAGAGAGTGGGTTAGCAGGAAAACTGACAATCAGGATTGTGGATGTACATTTTTAATAACATTCTGGCTCAGAAAGAATTGCTTTTGTAATTGGGAAGACAGAAATAACAACCAAAAAAAAAAAAAAAGCTAAAACATTGCACAAAATTAATTCCTTCTGAGTAGATTTATGACAATTACTCCATATTGCAATGAGAGAGAAGTATTGCTTCAAGAAAGAAAAGAAGCCACAGAGAACTGACACAACCACGATCGTAAATAAAAACATTTAACTAAGGATGGAGCAATAAGAACCAAACCACTGAACAACAGCGAACATTGCAGTGTTTTAACCTCTGAAGTTTAGAGGGACTCTTGTTTTCAAATGATGATTTTGCAGCAGGAGCTTAAATTTTTCTTTTTTTTTTTTTTTGTTTTTGGGTGAACTGGCTCTCATTGTCAGGTCAAAAGGTTGGACATGTTTGGATCACCTCCAAACACACAAGAGACCCCAAGACAAGAAATAAAAGCAAATAAAAAAAAATGCTTTTAATCATTTCACTCCTTCGCCAATTAAAATCCTCATGTTAGCCAAAAGTTTGACTTTGTACCCATTTAGAAATCATTTAATAACCCCTGAAACATTGTGAGTTTGTGTTTTTCTGTCGACATCATTCAGATAAATCAGAGGTGCAACGATCGATTAGCTCAGATTTCCTCAGTTTGCGGCGATGGGTGACTGGCTACTAACATCTTCTCCACCTCCACAGAGGTACGTAGATCAGCCAGTGTCAATGCTAAACGTTTCATTCACATGTGAGGGAACTATCTCAAGTGTTTTTTTTCTTTTGTTTTTAATAAAGTAAGTCCAGAACATTGAAAGTGTTACATTATAACCACCGACAGAGTTAGATATAAAAAAAAAAAACCTGCAATCAGTGAAACTCTAGGAGAAATAACAGGTAACCTCCAGAAATTGCCAAGAGCTGATTAAAACTGAAAAATGACCAGAGGAAATTGACTACATCAGTGAGGTGTTCCAATTGAAACTACAGGAAGAAGATGCAAAACATCATTTGCAAGCCAATTATGTTTTCCACACAATATTGAGTCATGCCTGCAGGCTGTGGGTGATAAGGACTTCAGCAGGTAACAGGAAGGCCAAACAAACTCCTTCAGACTAAAGGGATGATTGTGGCTGAGAGGTAACCACACTAACCATTGACTCTACACAGGTTAAATTTGAGCCACTAGGGGAGCTACACGCGTCCCTTCCAGGTTAAACTAAAGCATCAGAAAGTGTCATATCTGGTTTGTGCCTAAAAACAACTTTTAGCTTAGTTAGCTCTTGTGTTTAAGGTGTTTATGTTTGTTATTGGTTCTAGGAGATGTCAGTCTGTTGTAAATAGTAGCTAGCATGATTCCTTTTTTTTTTTTTTTTTTTTTTTTATTACAAAGTTACCAGCTTTTTCCTGAGTTGAATTCCCATTTTTTTCTCCCTGCATTTTATAAAAACTTGTTGCTATTTGTGTAAAAATTACCTCTACAACAGAAAAACCAAACTGGGTTCAGACCTTTTTGGCATCTGAACCCAACATTATTCAACTCTATTTAATGATCTATGGCTCTATCAACTTGTAAAATACAGGAATTGAATAATTCTCAATTCTTTGGAGCAATTCATGAATGTCGACATGTTTATAAAGCTCCAAGAAACAGAAGTTAAAACCCAGAGTTTAAGTTCAACATTCATCATCATCTAAAGACACAATACAAAAGTAAAATCTGGATCTCATTTGACATGCCTGTGTAAATTCTCAGTCATGGCAAAAACAAAACAGATTTAAATCTTGTTTGACAGTGACAGTGTGTTAAAAACCCTCATAGTCCTCATAAAATGTAGGAGGGAAAACAGTCTAGATGAAGGATGAACTAAAAGCATATTAAACCTTTGCATGGCTCAAAATATCGCCCTAAATATTTATTAAAATAATCAAAAGTTAAAATTTTATTGTATAGTGTTTAAAGTCATGTTCTAAACTAATTAAGGTCTCTTGATATGCATGAAATACAAAAGCTGATCATCAAACCAAAATCATTTTAAACTACAAACTATTGATGGGCCTAATTATAGTCAAATTAACAGATTATACTATTAAAAATGTTAGAAAAATTTTAAAGAATCAGTTTGTCAAAGCAGTTACAATAGGAAATCTAAAAAAACTAAAATGGCAAAGGAGCAAAGTGACCAGCACCTGTATAAAACATTCTCATAGTTTTCTTCCAGGCACAAACAGTAAAATAAGAAATGCTGACAGGAAAAATGTCCAAAAATACGAAAAACTATTTAAGTTATCCCAAATCCTAGTAGCTTTACTGATTGATGCAAAAAAAAGGAAAATAATCAGAAAAGTGGTGTAACTTAATGAAGTAGGCAGCTGCCTGGGAAAAGAAAAACACTACAAAAGCATTTCAGTGGGATATTATAAGAGAGGCGGGTAGTTTTACCTTCAACTACTCCATAGCTCACTGTGTTGGCGGTGGGGAAAAAAAAGAGGAAGAAAGACAGATGAAGAGATGGGGGGGAAGAGCCAGACTGCTGAGTAAAGGTTAAAAAAAGCTCAGAAAAAACACACACAAACTGTTTATATCTGACATTAGGTTAACAAACATACAAACTAGAAAAGCATTAGACTTATTATTGTTATCATTGTTAGCTTCTTTAAACAGACAACAGTTTGTATATGACATAAGGAAAACATAAACTGAGGAGAGGATTTGGTAAATATCCTAAAATCCTGAAGAAATACTGCTTAGAGGAAGTAACCAAAAGAAGAAACTAAAGAGAAATAAATAAAACAAAGGAAGATAAATATAGCAAGAAAGAAGAACATAGTCTACTTTTAAAGTTAGCCATGCAATTAAATATATAAGTACTTGTCCTTGCCAAAGCATCCACTTTAAAAGATATTTGAGCCTGGAGCTCCAGCAGTGGTTACAAACAGAAGTACAGCCAAACACAGGAGCATATTCAGGGCTTTATGAGCAACCGAATGGATCTGTCACATGTCTCCCGTCAACCACATCTGTACTCCACGATGTGGAACCTCCAACTAATGTCTGCTGTTAATAGAAAATGAAAAAGCCGGCCCAAATCCGATAGACGCGCTCTGACCAAATGTGGTTTTAATGGAACTGCTTATGTTGTTTTGAGCGTGCCTCATGGAAACGACTCACACCGCACTCAGATTATTAGGCTGCAGGATGACAGATGTACAACTGTAACGCCGCTTTTTTCCTTTGATCTTTTTGTTAAAACAGCAGTTTTTTTTTTTGGTTGGCATTTGTACAGCTGACAGACATCAAGTAAAGAAGATAATAACGAATCACTTACTGGAGGGCATGGTGTATGTGTCCTCTTCGTCCACTATCTCTGCATAGTCATCTGTTTCTGCAAAGTTAGAAAAAACAAAACCGCATAAAAATAAAAGAACTCGCTCAGATAGAGCTCACACATGCTTCAACTGACTCTACAATCGAAGAGAAAGCTAAAGAGTGAAGCAAGTCCAGCTCAAAGTGGCTCTGCGTTGCTCCTCACCTTCCCTCGAACCCGCCCTTTCTCCCTTACACACACACACACACACACACACACACACACTTGGTGGATCACGTCAGCTGAGCATGTGTTGTGAGTATCTGTCTGTGTAAGAGCAGCTGGATTGTAGGGAGTTAGCGTGGTGGAGCAGGAGGAGGAGGAGTGGGGCGAAAGCAACAAAGAACGAAGGAGAAACTGGAACAAAAGCCAAAAAAGAAGGAGTGAACTAGGAGGAAAGTGAAGAAATAGGCAGATAAGACGAGAGAGAGAAAGAGGAAGGAGAGGAAGAGAGCAGAAAATAGAGGGAAAAGATGGACCGACCCAGTCCAACCAGATGGTGGTGTTTAAAATAAAATCAGCGTGCAGACTCAGCTGTTGGAAACTAGAGTCGAACATCTGCTGTCCTGAACGTTCTCACAGCTCCACTTGGGATTCATCAGGCTCAGCGGGAGGCTGATAAAATTATATGGAATAAGCCTGTGGCTGATTTCTGTCCTGCAGTTTCAAAAGAGCAACATGTTAAATATCAACTGGTGATTTTTTGACATGAGGCAAGACAACTATACCCCAGAGCATGGCTAATTTACATGCTAAAAGAAAACTTCAGTAGACATGTTTGTAAGCTCCTGCTCCACTTAAGCTAATCCGTCAAGTTTGACAATTTCTAAGAAGCTTTGGATTTAGGAACATTTATTCAGTGGGTTAAAAAATAATAATAAATACCACATCAAAAACATTTTAACTCCATTACTAGCTGCATATCTAGTAGCACAAAATCAACGCCCACTTTCTTCTTAGGAAGAGGTTTGAGAGAGAAGTTGATGAGCAGACGTGAGGTGCAGCTGATTTATCTAAGCTCGCTAAACATAATATGAAAGAAGTGCTTAAAATCAAGTCAGATTAATGTAACTGACTTGTAAAAAAAAATACAAGAACAGCATTGGGGCCCATTTTAGCAACAGAAATACTGTGTAGCCTTTCACACTTGTAATTTCATCTCAAACTAAGGCTTTTAACTGTATATCATGATTTCTACTCAGCCCAATAAAGAAAATTTTTAGGGGAAGACTGAACAGAGAAAACAAACATGTTTCCGTGTCTAAGGCTACGTTCACACTGCAGCCTGAAGTGACCCAAATCCAATTTTTTGGCTCATATGCGACCTGTATATGATCTTTTCATTTCAGTCTGAACAAAACAGATCTGATTTTTTCCAATGCGACTCAGACCGCTTGGCTATGTGGTCCTGAATCTGATACAAATCTGATCTTTTCAAATGCGACCTGCGTCTGAACAACCAGGTTGCATCCATCAGACCTGAGAGCCATTAATACCCGACAAAGGTCACTATTCTGGGTCTTGTTACACAGAAGCAGAAAGAAAAACAACAACAAACACTGAGGACAATGATGCGGAGAGCAGTCTTTATATTTAACAATCTTGAAAAGATAGTGTTTTTATTGTATGGAAAGATCGCTAGATGCGCTCCGTCACTCCCATCCATGTTTAATTCCGTAAACACAGCATGCTGGCCTGTGACTTCATGGCATCCTCTACTGCATGTGCGGGACACTTAAGCTGTATGAATGCAGTTTACACAGGAGATCACATACAAGTCGCATATATTTGGAAATGTGAACAGCAACGGAAAAAAATCGGATTTCATAAAAAAATCGGAATTAAGCATCATGGCCTGCAGTGTGAACGTAGCCTTTGTGTCTGTGTTTTAGCCAGCTCCTTATAGCAAGGAATGCACCAACATTAAAACCCAGAAAACCTCTGGCTGCTGCGCCATGAAGGTGTTCAGCAGAGGAAATGCACAAAAGTGCATGTTTCAACTTATGTGTGGCTACTTAAGAGAAAGAGAGAGGAAAGCTTAACAGAGAAAATGCAGCTTTAAAAAAAATGTGTGGTAATTTTTTTGTATAAAGCAGAAATGTTTATATTTAGGTAGCCAGACATACAAAGATATTAACATTAGTTATGAAGCTCTACACGGCAGGATGGTTTTGAATTTGTTTATGAAGTGGTGGATTGCTTGAGTGTGAATATTGTTTTGTTTCTACTGTGCTTTAACCTAAGTTCATTTTACATAAAAGAGCAGACGGCTATTGTTAAATATGTAGGAATGTAAGCATCACTTCAAGCCACACACCAAAATACACATGCTACCCTTTCCCTCGAGGGAACAGACAGTGAGTAGGACAAGAAAGAAAGAACAACACAGAGATTTATAAACAACAGTGTAACTTTACCGTCCCCGCTAAGGTCTTCTGCGAGGTCCAGGAGAGCATGCAGGAAATGGAACAGCAAAAGGAGAGGCGGCAGCAGGACGGAAGAGAGAAAAGCCGAGGGGAAAAGAGAAAAAAAAAGACAACATAAAAAAAAAGAAACAGAGAGGTTAGAGCATGACAAGCTAAAACCGCAAGCTGTTAGATTCTCTGGATAATGACACACAATGCAGTCAGTTAGAAACTCCCTCAGCAGACGAGTGAATGTCCAGTAAAAGCAGGAAAAACTTCATTTCAAGTCATTCAAGCTATTTAAATCCAAATATGGGGGCAGTGAGTTTTTACCTTTCAGAGTTATCAGATCTACATAGTCAGAAGAAAAACAACTTAAGGAAACATTGAGTCAACATTTTATCTTGTTTCTTGTACTTTCCTGAACTACATTACTTTGAATAGTAGTTCATTGTTTAAACCTAATGGTTGGTAACCAACCTTTGCTCTACTACTAGCCTTTTTATGCTTTTTTTTAGGACTAAAGTTTTGTGATGGAAATAAAATCTGGGAAACTGTCACTGAATCAAAATGTTGCTCTAAAAAGCTGGAAAGAAGACAGACAGATAAAAGAAAGCTAAAAGAGCTCCAATCAGACAAACAGCAAACATTTGGCAGAAAGTGCTTTTCTTGACAGAGACCAACATTTAACTTTATGGCCAAGTTTTAAGATGCAGATTCAAAAAGAATCACTCAGCCATATCACAGCAACCCCAAATAAAAACATAGTGGTGGCAGCATCATGGTGCAGGGACACTTGTCCTTATTTGTGCTATCTGAGCTGATGGATGAAACTAAATCCTGGAAGAACAGGTGTTAGATGCTGCGCAAGACTGAGTTGAAATTTAAGCTTCCAACAGAAAAACAGCTAAAAGAAAGAGACAGAGCTGTAATGAAATGGTTAAAATATGTTTTCTCTGTATCAGAATGGCTCAGTCAGAGTCTAGAACTCAATACATTTGAGAATTTGGACAAAAACCTGAAATATTTACAGATGTTCACCTTAAAATCTGACTGAGTTTAAACTATTGGGGAAGGATTTGAGTCATGCCAGGCAGAATTGCTACATATTTTAAAGCATTTTGGAAACTATTATTATTGTCTTTACCCTACACAGATATGCAACACTTTGTAATTATCTACCATCTAACAAAACAATAAAATTCACAAAATGGGGAAAAAGTTAAAAGGGGTTTAAATACCAGTGTTTGCAGCTACAGTAAATAAAAAGAAGCTTTGAGAAAAAGAGCTAACACAGACACAGATGCTGTCCAGATTCACTCTGAGCTGTCCTGATGATGGCAGGCTCCAAGTCACATGCTGTTCCATTCAGGATGTCCCCAAACCAAACCATAAATAAATCAGATGGGGACAATTATCCTTAAAGCACTGCGACTAAAAAGAAAACATTTTCACAAACACAAATAAATCCAGAGTAATTTCTCTACAGTCGTTTATCTATAAAGCTAACATCTCAAAGCACTTTAGGGAAGATGGAGGACATTCCAATGTCCCACAATGACCTGAGCAGCAGATGCTAAACAAAAAACACAAAGGAGTTTCACAATGTTTTTTCCATCTAAATAAAGATTTAAAACTGAATTATGCAAAGATGCATCTAGAAATGGATGCATCTATATTTCAGACACACAATAATCCTGTTTTGTCTCCGACACTGTTTACATTTGATCACTGCTGCACTTTAAGAAATGGAAATGTCATGAAAGCTTTAAAAAACAAAATTTTGTTTTGTATGCACTACATAGAAAATGGGAATAAAAGTTGTCTAAGTCGAAGTTTTTTTTTAGCCAGGTCATGGTGACCAAAAGCCTCTTCTGTGTTGCTGCTGTTGGTGATTAAAGAAGCCACAAAATTAAGGATCATGCGTTTGAAATAAAGCCAACAGAAACACAGAGATGTTAGATTTAGAGCTGAAAAAAATTTACACTTACAGTCACAGTATCAACGTCTGCGATTCTCCCGATTGCAAAGGTCTGCATTTAGGTTCCGCATGCAAGCAATATATTTGAAAGTATATTCAATATTTAGATAGACTTTCACTACCTTCTATACTAATGATTGCAGTGGACATTTCGAGGAAGAAAATAAAGAAAAGAGTCAGAGTATGTACCTTCTTTTTGATGTGTGCTAAATTTAGCAATAGCATTGCAGTTACTGTTTTCTTCATATAATGTACTCCCTCTAATTCACATCTACAGCTTGTTAGGACTGCAATCTGCAGAGAAAACTAGTCCAAAAACAATCATAAAGGGGATTTTCTTGTGTTTCTCGGTGAGAAATGCACTGGCTTTATTTAATTATGCTAATTGCAACCATGATTAAATTTAGTCACACTAATTTAAAAAAGAAAGCAGAAAGCACTGCTTTGTACTGAAGAGCTTTAAAGTTGGCCAAGTTGGATGAAGTAGCTTTATACGTTTGATGGTAAATCACTCCAACGTTACACCAAAGACACATAAAGCTCAGAATATTCCTGCCAACAAAAAAGTCCAACTGCAGTTTCTTTCTGGAGTTTTAAAGGATTTTAAATTAGGCAAAGAAACCTGAGATTTTATGTATTTTCCATAAGTAATGAGGGCAACTATCTTTATAGGCTCTCAGTGCCTATTTTGTGTCTCCTTTAAATCCAAGAACTATGATGGCAGGTTGAGAAAATCCACTCTGCCACATCACAGTTTTATACACATGCTCTTTTACTGAGTGTCCAATAACGGCCATGATACCGTTGGGCGGCGAGTCTGAACAGAAGACAAAGGGGAGGAGGAAACGCCGTGCCTTGGTTGGCTTGGGGGATGTCGATGTCACTAGATCTTTAGCCAATCGGGGGGGGAGGGGGAGAGAAGAAGACAGAGTGAGAGGAAAAACCAAGAGTAAATGGATATGAGGAAAATAAGTAAGAAGGATGGATACAAAATGCGGCGGGAAAAAGAGAGGGCAGGAAAATAGAGAGGGAGAGGAAGTCTCTACAATGTGCAAAAAAAGCAGACGTTGGAGGAAATGGAAAAACGATATCAGTCAGTTTGCATAGTTTAAAGTCTTACCAGAGACGGAGATCGTTCTCACTCCACTCCGGACTGCCTCCAACTTCTTCTCATTATTGGAAACTTTACTAATTTACACAGGAAAAAAAAAGAAGAAAAGAGTAGCTCAGTCAACATACAAACAGCTAAAAGAATGTTTCTAGAGCTAAAAAAAAACTGAGATAAAGTGATTCCAAAGTGAGCTCATCTAAACAGAGAGTCAACAGCTGCGACACGTTCAAGCTCCCACAGGCAGCCCACCAAAGTGGAAAAAGGAAACCATGACTATGACTCGCTGAAGATGAATCCTTATGGTTTCTCTCCTGTGGTCTGCCGTTCTGTCAGCTGAGCTTCACTAAGATCCTCACATCACTGATTACAGTGGAAATGAGAAAGGAGAAGCAGGGAGCAAAGTGAGAGGAAGGAGGAGACTGAGAATGTTTAAAGACCCAAAGTGGAAAATATGTGGCTTCCTTCTTTATCTCCTTATTTGACCAAGGAAACAGAGCATGGGGGAGAGATTTAGGTTGAAAAGTAAGCAAAAGTACTCATGTTTGAAGTTGAACAAGAAACAGTAAAATGTATCCACCATGAAGTCTAGGCTACAAACAGCAACAGGATCCCCAAAGAGATAAACCTAAAAACATCATTAGACTACAATTACCTCACAATAAGGATTTATTTACATTTTTCCACGTCAGATTCAAACCTTCTACACTGAAACTTCCAGAATTCCTTCTTTAGGTATGGAGTGTGCTAATATGTTTATTTTAAAATTCCACAATCTTGTACATTGGATGGATGGTGCTTACTGTAATCTCATTTTGTCTATAATAACTGGCCTATAAGGTAAACTGTGTTGTCATTTAAAATGAGAAGCTGAGTATTTCTAAGATTAAGTTTAGTTAAGTTTTTAGGGTTACAAAAATATGTTGTTTCACTTTTACATTCTTCAATATATATGAAACCATAACATAGCACCTTAGGAATGATTAGAAAAAATATCTTATCAGCCACTTCTGGAAATAAGGAATTTGTGGCTTGATGGGAAAAAGCTTAGAACCTTAGTACCTTAGAAAAGTGTTGAAACAGTTTCCGCTTTAAATGCCTCAACATGTGCCTTTCATAGTTCAACGCTTTTATTGGAAACCACAATACAAAATTTATGATTGAGCAACACTTGTCTTCTAAGGAAGTAACCAAGCCCTTTAGATTGGTTAAGCTGATTCTGGACTATGAGATCAAAGGAAATTAGGTACCGGTAATTAGAAATCTTTAAGAATTTTATGATCCACCAATAATGCAAGAAGAGGCACAAAAAGAACATTTAAGGACTTACACTGGGATGGAAGGCAGAGCTCTCTCTCCCTCTAGAGGACAAAAGCATACACTGCAGTTAAAACAAACAGCATTCACCACTAACACTCATTTTAACTAGAAAATATGACATAAGAGTTTTTGAGTGTATAATCAGCAAAACTAATAAAACTATTTCTGCTCCATGAAGGGCAAAATACAGAAACAGCTAAACACAAGGATCTTATTTAATCTACATGTTACTGTTACCAAGTAGTAACACGTAAGTTTCTAATGCTGCAAGCAACATAAAACTTATTATAAATCTTTTTTTTTTTTCATTGATTTCCAGTCCAAAAACCCATTCTTAAAAATAACTTTGAACAAACTTTAAAGGTTCTCCTCAGCCTGCTCTACTCGTTTAAGATTCTCCTTCCAGGTTAATATCTCAAAGTGATTCTGCACATCTACCTTTCTGTACTCTGACAATGAATGAGTGGGTTTCCATGGAGACGAGCCGACAGTAACCGTCAATCAAGTCAGCCAAGTTTTCTGCAGTCGTGAGCGATGCTATCGTGACTGTGAGAGGCTGTATGGGTAAAAACACACAAACACAGAGAGGCTGTTACACAGGCTGAGAGGGAAACACACAATCAATTAATCCATGTGGTTTCCAGCTGCCTCTTACACCAGCGGGGGAACAAAGTCATTTACAGAGAGCACTGACAATGTTTGCAAATCCAAAGCTTTAAATGTCAACAAACCAATAAAGACTGAAGTTGATCAAAGCGTTGTTCACATGTTAAACATTGAGCGGCATGGTTGTTTAATTAAACTCCAGAGACCAAGCAACAGCGTTGACTACATGACGTGAAAGAAAGATTATACACAGCAGCGAGCGCGTGTGGAAATTATTGTAGGAGAAAAGTCTCAGCTGGAAATAAGTGAAGAAGAAAACCAAGGGACAAAAATCTGTGGTTAAAAAATAATTGGCTTTCCCAGAAATCCCTCCCTTGTTTTACTGCAGACCTGTATGGAGCATTTGTGGTAAAAAAGCTCAATTTGAAATATTGTCTGAAGAAAGAACACTCTCCCGCTTTCCTCTAAGGAAATTTAAAAAACTCTCTATTTACATTTGTGAAAAAAAAAACTCTCTTGTTCTGGTGTGGCTCAAAAACGGGATGTAGGCAACTTTAAGGAAGCAATAGTTAATAAAAAAACAAGTGTTTCAAATCGGATAAGGATGATTCAGACACAGTGAGTTGCTGTGCAGATACTTTTGAAGGATGCAGAGACTTCTTAGGTATTATGAGACTATTGCAGGAAGCCAGCAAAAGAAAGCAACCCTGGGAACTCTCATATGATTGGCTCAGGAATCAGGAAGTAAACACATGTTACACAGAGGTTGTTCTGCACTGTACATCCTGGTTTGAAAGGAAACAAAGTTAAACAAAACATTTTTGATAAAGAGGATCTATTGTTTATAGGTAAGGTCAATCAGAAATAGTGGTGAAGATGTTCATCCTCACCCAGCCATATATGTCAGTTATTACACACTCTTAGGGGTTCTGTTTAATGTGCCAACAGTTTTTTTTCTACCAAATAATAACACTTACATTAAAGACTGATTTGTCTACATCTTTCAGTGTGACACTAGTACTTTTGCATAAAAAAATATGTTTTTAAAAACTTATTTTAATAAATGTTGCTGGTAATGTAATTTGAAATATTTACCTATCCACTTTGTGGATTTTACAAGACATATTCTAAAGGCAGAAATATTAACATCTCATGATTACTGGTGGTGAATATTCATATGTAACATAAACTATATCCTAAAGTTTAGGATATAGTTTATAGTAGTTTATAGTTTATAGGATATAGTTATGAGTGTCAGACAGACAACGGTAGCGCAGTACCTCAGCAGCCCCGGCTACGTTCAGCTGTAGCATGCCTTTCCTGTCTTTCTCCTCCATAGCTGAGTACTGGATAGACTGGACCTGGTTAAAGTTGGCTAAATGTGTGGGCTGAAGACAGATAAGCACAGGAAAAATTTTTTTTTCAGATGTTCATCATATTAAAAGGACAAATAAAATAAAAGAAAAATCTCAAATAAAAATGGGAAAAGCGTGAAGCTGTTGCTTACTGTTGATCCCTTATCAGTAAGGTAACTGATGCCTTCTTCTGGCCCAATTGCCAACTCTACCTGGATCACCCAGCTGGACTGTAAGAGACAAGAGAAATGAAATAAGAGACTAAAGGACCTCTGACTGTTTGCATGCAGGACCTGATGCCACCAAAAGGGGTCAGTCTAACACAGTTCACAAATAGCTCAGTGGCACAAAGAGAGAAACCGACCCTGACTTCTAAAGGAAAAGGTAGGAAGCACATACCCCCAGGGCGCACTTAAAGAACTCCTTGTCATAGCGGTACAGAGGTGCCAGTATCTCCAGGAACTTAAGGATGCACTGTTCATCATTCAGATTGGCCACTTGCTTAAATGTTTGCTGAATCAACTTCCGCAGAGTTTTGGCCTAAAGAGCAGAAAAACAATAAAATTAACAGTCATTAAAGGTTTGTTTATATCCTTGATGCTTAAAAAAAGGAATAAAAAGCAGAAGAAAATCTGTTAATTTAGGATGAAGTGGAGGTAGTCTTTTTATCTTTCTCCATTAAAGTACAGTGACAGACATTGATTGACTAATAGCCCACTCTGTTTCCAATCAAACTGACCCCTGCACTTCATTCACAGTTCAGATCGATAGCTAAACAGAGACACACTGTGGCTGTTAGTAAGAAAATTAAACATCATGAGTCAGTCTGCTCGGTGACAGTTTCACTTTACACATAATAATCAAATCTTTCCAGGATAGATTGTAGAGTTGATCTAATACTGCTTTTTTCTTTTTATTGTGCGCAATGCCCCCACAGACAAGACAGACGCCAGGAAATCCTTCTAGGAACAGAAATATAATTTAAAATCCTATCTATTCTTTGTAACCACAAATAAAGATGATCAACACAGTTGCAGGAAGTCAAACAAATGTAGCTCAGAAGGCTTACACATGTGGGGAGAAGGAACATACATGCATTATTATATAATAAACATTTTTTTTTTTAAAAAGCTCAGCTGAACTCTGTATGGAGAAAACATGTCCTGTTCTGCAGATTATAGCAGAGATCAGAGGAAGATATAAAGTAGGCCGCTATACGCTCAATGTGCAGAATGCTGCCATGTTTATGAGCTATAAAGCTTGAATGGCAGGTATTTACAGACTGCAGCTGACAGATGGAGGAAGCCTGGAAAGATTCAGAAAGTTATTCTGAAGAAAGGATTGTTGGCATTTTGATTTAGTGACAACCTCCGAGTTATTTTCTAAGAGTTTCTTGAACTTTAACTACACCAAACTAATCGATCTGAGATAAAAGTTTGTTTGCACTGGATTTCTTTTTAGGGTGATAGAGAAAGAAGTCAGCATCACACTGGATTCCAGTAAAATATAGCAGCTTTTGGTTGGAAGGTAAAAAAAATATAAAAAACAAGAAGCCCGTCCAATCATTTTGAAATACAGTGCTGTACAAATGTATTATTCCACTGTAAACACTGTAAAGACTACAGTTTTAAAGATTACACGGTGCTGCTGCCAGCTGTCCAGTTGTTGAGCCCAAGGGAATCAACACACCTACACACACACACACACACACGTGTGTTATCTCTTGCTATCCTTATGGGGACTTTAATTCATTTTGCATTCATTTCTATGGCCTAACCGAGACCCTTACCCTAAGTTTGACCATTACTAACACGTACCCAACCCTAACCCTAATCTAAACCCATAAGGACCAATCGTTGGTCATAACAGGTACTTTTAAGTCCAAACAATAAAGCATTTTCCTGTGAAATGGTCCCCACAATAAAACAAATTCATGGCCAAACATGAACAGTGTTCACCCATCAACAATGGCAGATGTGAGCCTACCCTTAGGACTGCATGTTTTTTAGGTCTTCTTCATGCTCCAGATAGGATTGCTGTTGTAATTCCTAGAATTCCACCACAAACACAGAAATGTCCGCCCTTCCAGAGGGGAAGCGGTTGAGCTGGCTATCAGCCTACCCATCACCATACTTACCACAACTACACTGAAAAGCCGTCCAACTACCACATACTTCTAATTATTATTTCTCTCTTCGTCTTGAATAGTTATTGGTGTAAACAATGTAAAAACTGGTTAGGCAATGTGAATAAAATCTATGTGGCTGCAGGACCTTGTTTTAAGGTGTTTGAAGCTTCACATTTAGATTTTTAGTTTGTAAAGTAGCTTTTATTCTTTAAATGCTGGGTCACAAATGCTGAGTCTCCATTTAAATGGAGTTTCTGTTGAAATTAGGCAACAGTGGAAAAACACTGATCAACTTGGTATTTATTTTCTGCATGTGATACAATTTAACAAGCCTATACTGTAGCTGAGCATTTCAGAGTTGAATGAAACCAGATTAACAGGTCCCTTTTGTAAGAGGGTCTGCAGGCTAAATTAGCAGTGAAAATGTTTTGAATGGGTTAGTTTAATTTCTAAATTCACTCAGCGCTATAATTTGTTGGATAAAAACTCTACATATGAACTGACAAATCAAAGATAAATCAAGTGATTTAGTTTATTATGTTAAAAAGATAAAAGGGATTATAGTTTTTTATTTATTGACTGTGCAATATTCTGTGCAACATATGTATATATTGCACAGTATATATTGTAATATCTGTAAATTCAATCCACCTGTATATAAGCCATCCTGGTTGTACATATGTCACCTCAAATCTCTGTGTTACTCCCTTGTATTTTTTTATTTATTTATTTATTATTTTTATTTTTTTATTTATTTTTATTTATTCTTATTCCTAATGCACCTTTTCCTCCTTGTTTGCACCTTCTTTAAGAACTATGCCAATATGTAACCAGTGAATTTCTCCGCTGTGAGATCAATAAAATTTTTCTAAAGTCCCTTTTGATTTTCTTTTTCCATTATCATCCAGAAATGGAAAACAACAAAGACAAATTCCATACATGTCAAAAATAAAACATAATGTTCATCCCAAATTTATAATAAATATACAATTGTGAAACAAATGATCTTAATTTGATGTACTAAAGATTTATTCAAGATGTCATTAATTAGCGGTTTATGTTCACACTGGATGTGCTTTGGGCAGCAGAAGCAGGCGTTATACATGCAAATTCAATGGTTGACACACATCAAGGCGCACCAAAAGGTCCTGCTGCGCGTCTAGAGCAACCTGTATACCTGACAGCAAAATATGTTTGCTTTTATTATTCTGGTGTCTGCAGTTTATACCACATATCTGAAAAATGCTAACATCTACTTCCAGCCTCCACAAACAGTAGAAGGAAAGTCCCCAAGAGGCGACCCGGCCTGAGGCAGCTACTGCTGGTTTCCAGGTGACAGCGCACCATCGCTATGTGGGGATCTTAGCGGCTCAGACAGAAAAATAATATTTGAAGGCAGGATTGTAATCTTGATGAACTGACTACAAAGACTATTTTTTATGGTGGACTTTCTCGCATAAAAGTGTATTAAAACTACTTTTTACCCACTTATCACAGCAAATATAGCAAAGCCGCTTTCTGCCATTGAACACAGGAGTTTTGGTAGATTGTCAGCATGTTGTAACCCTTTACTGTTCTCTTTTACATTCCTGAATCTATCTCACAAGAGAACAAGATAATGAAGCCACTTTAACAGCATGGTATGGTGTTTCAACATGCTATTCATCCGACAAGAGGGACTAGCTTTTCAAATCAAGCTGTGGCTGGTTCAAACTTTGATCTCTAAAGGTCAGCTTCACTAAAACTGCTGCCCAGCCTGTCAATACCAATGAACAGACTCTACTCTTTACAACAGCTAACATAAGATACTGTTTACTACCGCAGCCATCTGCTCTGGGCTGAGTGTGTTTGAGTAAGTGAGCAGAGTCTATTAAGGGAGAATAATCCCATTAAATGACCACGGTTCCCTTTAGGCAGAGTGAACCACCGAAACGTATATGACAGCTGCGCTCCCTCCTTTGTGAAGTCCCCCCAACCCAGAAAACATCGCACACATTAACACAAGCGCACATGTGAATTATAACAAGCAGCAGAAATGTGATTTTAGTTTCCCACAAGAACTGCTTCATCTTTATTGAACTGGTGTCACCATATTAGAAAAAACAAAGAAGGTGATTTTTTTAGCCGATTATGAAATAACACAATAGAATCAATAATAACAGTAGTCTCATTATAGTGGGAATTTCTAAAGATTATAATAGCCCAACTTGGCCATAGCTGCACATTTAAATTCAATAGATAACTGGGCAACATATGAATCATTACAATATTATTGTGATACTTAAATTCCAAAGATCTGCTTGGATGTAACACATTAAGGGTCCTATGTTTTTTCATTCTCTGCAGGTTGATATTGAGCTTTATATTCAGGCAGTGAGGTAAACTTTCCCTGTTTTGGATTTTTGACATTTTTCATGCAAAACTCACAAGATCAGGGGCAACATCATGACAACAACAAGGAAATTGCAACCTATAATCTTCTAACAAGCACAGATTGATTGCTAGGAGAGGCTAAAATAATCCTGCCCTGGTTCACTACACTTTAACAGGTTTCTTCCTCTCAAACTTCATAAAAATATTGCCATGTTTTCAATAACTGGCTTTAAGAAAGACATGTGGCTGCATCGTTTCATACACATCAGCTACAATACCAAAAACAATTATTCACATCAATGGTTATATTTGATCAATTTGACTTGATTTTATGCTTCTTCTAATCAATTCTCAACTGTCCTCAGTTAGTTGGTGCTAAACAAATAGGCTGCGGCATTTTTAAACCATTAGGTAGGAACGGCTGTAGATAGTGTCTTTAAAATCAGTTAAAATAACTAAAGAAACATCAAAAAGACAACTTCAAGATTCTCTTAGTAACAACATGAAGACTAAAAGGTCTGGGTAAGAGTAAAAAAAACAAACAAATTAAACCCAGAAATGATCACAACGTTTCAGCAGGTGTGGGTTAGGGTAAATATAACTATAAATGATCTATTAATTTAAAAGTCATGCATGTATACAAATTAAATAAAATTTGCATTTTTTTTCTTTACAAATAGATGTTTCTTTTTATTGGATCAAGTATTCAATCCTGTCTTCCATGCGATTAAATAACTAAACTTGCTATACTTTTATCCTTATACTTTCTGACTCTACGCAATTTTGCAGCCAAAAGAAACGGCTTTAACTGGAGAAATCCGAGGCAATGCTTGGTGAAGAGGGAGTAAAAGAAGGTCATGTAAGTAGGCAGGTGATGAGAGGGGAGTCAGCCTTGCTCTACAACAGAGGAGGGAGAATAATGGGGGAGAAGCTGTTCCCCGACACCTCCCCCTTCCTTCTCATTGTTGAGATGAAAGAGCAGGTTTAACTCTGACCTAAAGGTCATACACACACACAACATGCATAGATACACGAGCGTGCCCAATCACAGACTCCGTCTGTAGAGCATCTGTCTGCTCGCCTGCTGACATCAGGACCTTTTCGGGTCACTGGGACTTTAACACTGTGAAACCCTCAGACACAAAGATCTGCCCATAAACACGTGCCGTAAATTTACACTGTTTACCATAAAACACATGCTAACAGTATAAATACACCAACACGATCGAAACCTTTTACTCTAATCAAAGCAGTTCACACTCTAGTTACATAACACTTTAATATAATTTTAGGTTAAAACTTTATAAATGCTCAAAGCCTGTTTAATTGATTACTGAATGATATTTCTTCTATGTATCCTCTTATCAAAACAAAAAAGCTTGCTTTTGTACCTGCTATCCAAATATCCATATGTTCAAAGCTTAAGAGGAGTTTTTATCAGTTCTACCTTGTTTGTTTTTCTTAGAACCAGCCAAAATTTGCTGAAGAATAAATAAACAGATATTTAAATCTGGCTGAAGGAAGACCTTTCTTTATTCAAGAATGAAGCTGTGGAGGCACATTTCAGCTATAAAACTGCTTTAGAAACTGAGCCGCTCTACTGGAACAGATGGAGCCCTGTCACACCAGCTGCTGAGAGTCAAGAGTGCAGTAATTAAGGTGCGTTTAACTGTAGGAACAACCAGGGTCATTTTATTTATTTTTTTTTTTGGCCCCCTCCTTTTCCATTGATAAACCGCATTAGCCAGGTAGAAATGCACCCTATATGACAGGCACTGTAAGAAGGTAGCCAGTGTTTGCACTAACCTGAAACTTTAAGGTGCAGCTCTGTGCAGAAGGCTGGCAAACATATGAGAGTTTGAACTGGAATAGTATTTAGCTATTCACTTTCAAACTTAGCATCTAATACCTCTAACATTTATGGTTATTTTGACCATTTATGAGGATTATTTGCATGTTTAAATAAGAAAGAAACAAAGCAGATTAACCTTGGGATTAGAACTCCATATGTTTCGTAACAGTTAAGTTTTAGGCTCTAGCTACTGAAATCCCCTTTTTACCTCAAGCCTCCTTAAACAGAATTATTTCTTTAGAGGAATCCACTATTAGTGGAAAAATAGTCTGGATTTCAATTTCCTAACCAAACGTTAATCCAGTTTCATAAGTATGAGTCTTTCACAGGTTTGTAGTTAAGAATTAATATCAAGCCAGGAATTTATTTAAAAAAGGGCTTAAAGCTTTGCTGAATAATTTTGTCACTCTAAAGCAAAGAAACGTAATAATTTCACAAACTAGTACTGATAATATGGAGAAAGACCTTGCAGTAACCAAGGAAATATTGTTTAATGTTGCATATTTCCTCTAAGTTTAGAGGGATTTTTATCCTGTATCAGGTGGTCTCAGAATTCACCTAAAAAAGTTACTAACAATACATTGGTGTCAGCGCAATTCATTCAGTAGTTCAAGATTTTTTCCATAAGTTTACCGTCTTCCAAAATATTCAGGTCCTAAAATAGTTTTTCTATAATCAAAGATTGATGCTTTAAAGGCCTGATTTCAGTTTTATTTGCCTCTATTGAATCAGACCAGCTGGTGGGGTGTTGCCCTTTTCCACATGCTCCAGATGGGCTGGTTCTACTTCACTTGGGTGAATTCTAACCTTTCCCATATTCTCCTGAGCAGATGCGATCGAGGCAGAGTGGAGGTGAAATGTGACATGAACAGACTCCTGTCCACTGATTGTCCATAAAAACAAAAAGATAAGAAAACTCTAGAGTGACTAAAATAATATTTAGGGCCACCTTGATCAGAGTATGTCAAACTGATATATTTAGTTTTTACGATTTTACGAATCGTAAACCACAGTGGACTGCTGAAAGAAAATAAAAAGACATTTCAACTTTCTGAATTAGTTGCAGGGTGGGAGCTGGATTAAAGAACAACCTCAATCAGTGTTGAGGAACACAAAACAATCCACCATGAAACACCTGATGCCAGAGTCCATATAGCAGACAAGGAAGTGAATAAATAAATCCTCTCTAGATCTCACCATTTAAGAGTCCAGCGAAAGTCAGCTTTGGTTAGTAGTCGTCCTGTTTGACCTGATGCATTCAGCCTGATTATGTGCAGCTGCTCTCTGTCTGCTCCCTCCCACCTGAATTTCTAAACTAAACATTCTGGAAAAGCAAAAATTGATAGCTTTAAGGTTATTCAATCCAATGATACGGTAAAAAGGTGTGTTTCTCATCTTGCAGAATGAACTGAAATTGCCGTTATATAACTGGATTATATAACCTTAAAGCATTTACTTTTTGTTTGTTAGACTTGTTTATTCCAAAATTTGACAGTCAGGAGGAGGGTACAGGCATAAAGAGTCAAACTGGGGAAAATGTTTAATCTGCATTGCACGAATATCCAATTCGCCGAAGAAAAAAAAGAAATCTTTTTAATAATTCCCCCAAATGTAACTATTTATATAAACTTTAGAGCAGAGAGCAGCGTCTGTCCTCTCAGTATCTGGTACTACTGTTTTACTACTTAAAGTAAACAGATTAACAAGCTTATTCTAGCTTCTGCATTTCATCACTTTTTATTATTGTGCTGTTTGAACAATAGTAAAACTAAACTGGGAGCAGCAGGAATGGTGGAAACACCAGAAGAGATGAAGGTTTATGGTAAATAAATTCCATGAGATGAATCATAAAGGATAAAAGAATTAGCCATTCAGTTGCAGAACAAAATAAATGAGCTTTTGATCATAAAGGTTAAATTAGCTTTTTTTTACAAGGACTGTCAAAATAAAATGAGAATACCCAAACTATTTAAACAGCTTTAACCACAATAATAAGGACCCCATATCTCCTTATATGGACAAATGATCTCACCTTGACAGAGTCCAACAAATCTTTAGGGAAAAAACGCCTTAAACCAACGTCTTTCCTGAAGAGAGAAACAGAGATATAGATCAGAGTACTGTGATTACACCAAGTATTTTAATTGGCTCACTTTTCTCTCTTTATCTGATCTCAGCTGTCTATGTTCCCTCTGCTGAGACACAACATTTACAAAACAGACCCCATAAGACAGGTAACAGAATAGAAACAGAAAGATTTGTCAATGTGCTGACTAAAGGGCTCCATCAGTCTTCTCTGGAAAATGGAGATAAAGTCATAAAATTACAGGGAAAGAGGCAGTGATGCAGGTCAGAGAGGAGAAAGTGAAACCTTAGTGACAAAGAAAGATGAGCAGGGCTATAACAGGAAGCGAACTAATGACTCATACTCCTCAGAGGAAAATATGAGTTCTCCACGGAGGAGGGACGAAAGGAGCAAAGAGGAAGGTTACGTCATCTTTTCTCCAACAAAGGTCACATCCCCAATCGGTATTATACAGCCACATCATTATAGTCCTAAATCTGTGTGGAAATGGACCGTCAACACAAGATACTCTAAAAGACCTGTTTGATTGCAGAGAACAGCTTTTTAGCCTAAATCAAAGCTGTATTTGCAACTACCTTAGCACGTCCAATATAATAAAAATGATGAGTGAAAATATTTGGGTCTTTTTAGAATAAGAAATCACAAAGAAAATCCAGTTACCGGATTAAAATATTCTTGTCTCATTGTCATAGTGGACAAGTTAAAAAGGGATTTTTACATCTTTGACCTGCAGGATTACATAGCTTTGAGCTGAGCAGCTTCTGACAGCAATGAGAATGAGTTCACATAAAAAAAAGGTCTAATATGGGCTTATACAGTTTATATACTCATGCCATCACCATGTACGGCTCAACAAATAGGATGGATATGATTCAGATATCATAAGGCTGATTTTGGGGAGATTAAATATCCAATGACTGCAAAGCCTCTAAACCAGAAGGAATTCAACCTGACCGATCACTAATATGTGAAGAAGCACCAAGAAGCTGGCTGCTATCAGTGAGGTGTTTGAAAATAAAGCCAGATCATTCATTATTAGATAGCTTAGATTCTTAAATGTTTTTCAACCAAAAAATTATTCAAAAATAAAAGAAAAGATGCATTGATCAGACATTTTGAACAGATTTTCATTTCTGTTAAGCAGCATTTAAATATATTTTTATTTTAGACTAGATTCTGAGTAATTCTAACGCATTTATGATAGGAGCAGAAGTGACCTCATGAGCTTGAGCGAAAAAAACGGGGCGTAGCGATTAGCATAATTAGCATTGCAGGCCGTTCTAAAAATATTTTTTCCTTTTCGAATGATTATCAATCTTTGTCCTTTTTTTAACTCCGGCTTCGAAGTCCTCCCTTTACTAATAACATACATCGAGGAGTGGTGTTGTTGTTGTTAGCTATACCTATTAGCAGCTAGCTTGGATGCTTTCACTGATCGAAAAAAGAAGGCCGATCATCGGCCAGGGCTAATTGATCAGAAAAGTTATGCAATTCCAATCAGCTGCTTCCTCAGTGCATTTCTAATCATTAAAAAAACAAATTAAACTCAAAGTATGCATAAATGATTTATCAATCAATTAGTGACAACATAATTACCAGCAGCTAATCACAAAGGTACAACTGGAAATCGAGTTACCTAACAACTGTTAGAGGAAGTAGGTGTGGTTTAAATTCAGTAAGCCACAAGGTCACTGGGAAAAACAACAATAAAATCATCCAATTATATAAGGGGATTTTGTTTTTTTTTTATCACAGATTATTTTAAATATAGGCGGCTAAGGACCAAGTGAAGCTAGCAGTGTCATAAACCCCCAATATGTTGCTTAAAGATTTCTGTCTTCAACTATAAAACAAGGACCCAGCAGTCCCTTTGCAAGTGTGCTTCCTCTCTTCTCTCTTGCTTGTTTTGAATATATCCATGACATTATATCTTTTCTAATCATCGGAGGGACAGACAGCAAGGGACTAAGAGACAAAACAAAAGAAGAGCAGCTTGGAGGGAAAAAAACAGGCATGCAGAATATGAGAGCAGGACAGAGAGAAAACAAAGTGACTTCTTTTGGTGAAGAGACTGCGGACATTCTTCCCTGTTAATTGGAGGGCTCATTAGGCTGAGGTTCAAAGGGAAACGTTTCAATTGTGACGCTGCAGCTCATTAGAACCGGAACATGTCAGAACCAGGTCCAATTTAGACCTCACTTTGTTCATTCTTTATTCACAGCCACGATCCCAAGAACCCAATCTGGGACAACGCAGGAGCTAAACATGGAGGTAAAAGTGCTGCTAGGATTTAGTGTTTTCTTACCACAGCAGCTCATTAAGGGACTTAAATTTTTCAGTGATATGCACAATTTTAACCACTTAATGACTCTCAGTTCAAAAAGAGAAGGCTCAGACTCCCAGGTACATGTAGAACCACATTGTTGGGTTTTTCTTCATCAACAGGAACTTACTCCAGTAGTTCATAGTTAGACTTCTTGTCCAGAGCATTTCCTCTCATCTCTTTGAAGAACCTCCTGGAAGTGGAACAAGTAGGACACTAGAGTGAACAAAAGCCAGATAATGGATGCCAAATCTCCAACACTATATCCAACGATAAAAATGGATTTAATGAAACTTTTTTAACTGCATTCAGAATAAACAGGCTTTACTGAGGTGCTGTCTGAAAATGCAACGGCTGTTGCTTTAAATAATGAATTACAGACACTGACTAATGTTGGCATGAGTTATTAGTGCAGCTCAGAGGCAGATCGACTGATATGGAAACGCTTCAAGTAAAGCAAGCTGAATCTTTGTAAAGAAAACTGCTGCTTCATTTTGAAATGCACATCTTACCTGATTTCCAGACAGCCCAACTTGAGAGCTACATCTTGTTCCACCTGATCTCCAAACTGTGTCATGTAGTCATTTTTCACCTGAAAGAAACACAGACATCTATCACATTTCATCTTACAAACATGTCTAACTGACCCAGATCATTCAAAATCAAACAATAAATCTTCCAACTCTGCAATATGCCTTAGAACTGGCACCAAAAAACATAACTACAAACCTCAAAATGTTTAGATTTTGTCACATCATATCTATAAACCTTATTAAATCTTAATAATTCACTCTAATATTAAATAACTTTAATCCCATTTCATTGTATCTGGCTTTATGTTTAGGGGGTTTCCTCCTGGAGAATTAAACCAGGCTGGTTTTTTTGTTGCCTCTAACAAGTTTTTTTCCAGCTTTGCTCTGATTTAACCTTCACCCATCTTTCCATTAACTCAGACCTGGTTCCCTTTTCATGTGTAAGAAAAGACTCCTCACAGCATGAAGCTGCCCCACCATGTTTCCCAGTGATAACGGCATCTACTTGGTCAGCCTAATTGACAGATTCCTGTTACCCACAGTATCTTGCATGCAGGCTAAAGATCATTTCCTTGTTATCTGGACACAGAGAAATATTCAACTCAATATTTACCGTAAAATACAGATTTTTAGAGTGCGCCACTAAGGGGCAAATCATACTCTAAAACAGGGTTCGGCAACCACATATGGCTCCTTAATACCCCCCTTGCGGCTCCCTGGAGCTGTATAATGTATGAAAATGTAAAAAGATTAATTTTTTTGTTTGTTTTAATATGGTGTGCAGGAGGTAAAAAAAACCACATTTATTATGTTTTCCAATGCTGTAAAAAATTGTATAATAACTAAATGTAAACAATACACGTAAACATTTCTGTCAAGGAAGCACTGTGTGGTGCCAGGCAGGTGGCTGTTGTAAACAATGCGGCTGATGTGTCTCAGACCATGGATCCCAAAGGGGAAAAAAAAGAAAGATTGCTGATGAGAACAGAGGATTCAAAGAATGGACCGAATCATTAGCTTTCATTACCAATGCAACTGCATGTTTGCTGTGAAATGAGAACTCAGGAGGAAGAAGCGTAATTTGGAAAGGCATTTCCAGGGAAGGCATGCTAAATATGCAGTCCACCACCAAGTTTGGAGTGAGAGAAGAAGTGTGATTGCAGAACTTCTGGATAAATTAGAGGAGAGCAAAGATAGATTTAATAAGTGGGTTGCATCTACAAACTCCACTACTGCTGCTAGTTTTGTTGAAAGTATGGAAAACAGTTCAAAGATCGAACAGGTAGCTCTCTGATGCTGTTATGTGAAACAGAAACTGGTTTCTTGTCGTACTTTGCTCCTCATGTGTGTTTTCCCTGACGTCTCCTTGGTTTTCGGCATTTTGTTTTTGGATTTTGCGTCTGTTGCTCATGCACCTTGATTAAATCAGCAGAACTCATCTCTGCATTTGAGTCCTCAACCTGCCTCCATTCTACCTTCACATAATGGAATTTAAACTTAAAGCACCAAATATCGTACAACAGAGTAGTGACATGATGTGATGTTTGCTCTAGGATAAACATTTAATCAAGAATGCTTATTATATATTTAAGCCAACATAGTAATTTTTCTTTATAGTAGGCCAATAAACCTAGAGCCCGTGTTGCCATCTAAGGCTTATAAAAGACTTTTACATTTTTGCTTCTCCAGACAGATTAGTTTTTTTGGTCCAATAATGCTCTTCGAACGGTTTGAATTGCCGTCCACTGCTCTAAAAAAACAGAGAAATGTATTCTGTAGCTCATTGAATATTAAGAACAAAAACCCATTTTTTTNAATATTTACCGTAAAATACAGATTTTTAGAGTGCGCCACTAAGGGGCAAATCATACTCTAAAACAGGGTTCGGCAACCACATATGGCTCCTTAATGCCCCCCTTGCGGCTCCCTGCTGGAGCTTTTTAAGAAATGTATGAAAATGGAAAATGGAAATAGATAGATTTTTTTTTGTTTGTTTGTTTTAATATGGTGTGCAGGAGGTAAAAAAACAAAACAAAAAAAACATTCATTATGTTTTCCGATGCTGTAAAAAATTGTATAATAAATAAATGTAAAAAATAAACGTAAACATTTCTGTCAAGGAAGCGCTGTGTGGTGCCAGGCAGGTGGCTGTTGTAAACAATGCGGCTGATGTGTCTCAGACCATGGATCCAAAAGGGGAAAAAGGGAAGATAGCTGATGAGAACAGAGGATTCAAAGAAGAATGGACCGAATCATTAGCTTTCATTACCAATGCAACTGCATGTTTGCTGTGTAATGAGAAGTCAGGAGGAAAAAGAGTAATTTGGAAAGGCATTTCCAGGGAAGGCATGCTAAATATGCAGTCGACAACCAAGTTAGGAGTGAGAGAAAAAGTGTGATTGCGGAACTTCTGGATAAATTAGAGGAGAGCAAAGATAGATTTAAGAAGTGGATTGTATCTCCAAACTCCACTACTGGTGCTAGTTTTGTTGAAAGCATGGAACCCCCCCCCCCAAAAAAAAATGTCTCAAAAAAAAAACAAAAAAAAAACATATCAACAACACCTAATACATTAACATTTGCACGTCTTTAAGTCAAACTGTTTTGTTTGTCATTGGTTTCTTTTCCATTTGGCGTTATATTTAAGCATTGTTGTATTTTTGAGTTACTCTCTGTTGCCCCCTTGTGCCAGTCTTCTTTCCCCTAGCTCCCTTCTAGTTACTTCTATCCACACCTGCTCCATATCAGTTGATTAGCCCATTTTTTGTTCTGTCCCCCATATATACATCTCCTGTGCAGTTCCTCATATCTGGTTTCTTGTCGTACTTTGCTCCTCATGTGTATTTTCCGTGACGTCTCCTTGGTTTTCGGTATTTTGTTTTTGGATTTTGCGTCTGTTGCTCATGCACCTTGATTAAATCAGCAAAACTCATCTCTGCATTTTGGTCCTAAACCTACCTCCATCCTACCTTGACATAATGGAATTTAAACTTAAAGCACCAAATATTGTACAACAGAGTAATGACATGATGTGACGCTTGCTCCAGGATAAACATTTTATTAAGAATGCTTATTATATATTTAAGCCAACAGTCATTTTTTATAGTGGGCTAATACACTTAGAGCTCATGTTGCCATATAAGGCTTATAAAAGACTTTTACATTTTGGCAGCTCCGTACAGATTTGTTTTTTGGTCCAATAATGCTCTTCGAACGGTTTGAATTGCCGTCCACTGCTCTAAAAGAACAGAGAAATGTATTCTGTAACTCATTGAATATTAAGAACAAAAACCCATTTTTTTCTTGCCAGGGCATGTCATACATTTGAGAGAAGAAATTAAATCCAGGACCAATGCTTCGGACAGGGAGAAGGAATACATTTCTCTGCTATCATCAACTGACGTCAAACAGTTGCAGTGGATTTTATTTAGCAGATTTTTACAGTGTTTAAGCTGAGAACACAAACGGGGCATCCTTTACTGATTTTCACTTGGAACATTATTTTTTTTCTAAACCATTTATCATCTAGCCTCAGCTTAATAACTATTGTGCAGTATCTCCTGTTTGTTTGATACATCAAGTCTTGATTGTACAATGCAAAAAAGTTCAATTATGAAGGCTTTATCACTGAACTGTTTTTTGTCTAGATGTGATCGGATACCTGATGGTAGAAGTAGTTGAGTGTAGGTTTGTCTTCTGTAAACTGCTGGATGAAGCCTTTGGGGAGGTAGCGGATCCTTAGCTCATACCTAAAAGAGGAGAAGGCGACAGAAATAAGGAATCTACAGCTTCACAACACTTTTAACAACACAAAAACTGTTAAAATAATTTAAAGAAACTGTGGGCCTCTAATTAAGTATGCAAAGATGCTTTACACTGTTTGCATTTGTTAATGTGCATACAGAGAGATGAGATATAAGAAATTGTCACTATTTTATAAAAGGAAACACTTATCTTAGAAATACAAGCAGTTGCTTCTCAGCATAAAGGCAGAACGAACCATAACGAATTTAAGGCAAACTGCATTAAAAGACATTCCCACTCTGGGCAAGAATACAAATGAGACACAGGGCTGTAAACTAGCATCAATGACTGAGACACAACAAAGAGAATGTTGTTGACTTAGTCAGACAAAGCAGACATCTGGTTCTCGCTCTCCGTCTTTATGCTCACAATGAAAATGGTCTCCACCTCACAACAGCATTAGCACCAAGACAGCTGCAATAAAGCTAATATGTCTACTCCAGCCTTAACATCCAGACTGGTCATCCTATACAGCCCAGATAGCACCACACCCAAGGTTGAAAAACAGATAGGTCACACCATTTCTTCTGAAGCTGTTTGCAAATAAATCAGCCCCTTTAGAGCACAGCATGACAGTCTGCTGACGCAAAGATAGTGGGTGACTTTGAATAATCATAAGTCATACCGACACACAAAGCAAAAACCTGGTTAGCAATGTTAGTCTCAGTTGTCCTGTAATATAGAATAAGGCCGGATTGTTGACTAAAGCAAACTTTATTACTGAATGTTTTTAAAGTATTAGAACACAGAGAAAAAACATTGATTTTAGTTTTGTATCATTAGTACTAAGCACTAAACGCTGCAAACCTCTGTGGCTTTCTAACCTCTAGCTGGTAGGGTTTAGTCACGTGATTACAATTCAGCCTAATGGTGAATACCTGACTGAATATATGATACTGTTTACTAAGCCGCATAGAAGCAAAACCATGTATATTTATCAATAACATAAACACAAGAAGGTATGTGGATTGGGAAATGATACAGCTCTCTGAAACTAGAAAAGCTTCCCAATTAGAGAATTGGACTGTTTGATTATAGTTCAATCTGTTAACTAAAGGACAAAATTTGTCACCACGTATCAAATCATATCAAATAATAATCATCTAACTTTGATTGTTTTAGGCGTCACTGACTGTGCAGATCTAAATATTATCGATAGGATGGAAAAACAAAGAGGTAAGACACAGAGTAGACAAATGTCACTCAGCAAATGATTGTTTGTATTTTTCTGAAACAGGAGCAAATCTTTTTTTGTCACAACTTTTTCAATTCCTTCCCAGTCTCTAATTCTTCAATATTACCTATGTATATGTGAACTTTACAAATTTACAAACTTATTCAGACCAGCATTATTTAAAAATCTGTAAATCTTATATTTGTCAAATAATGATTGGAGTATCGAAGAATTTAGTTCCTAATTTAAGTTTTAGTGTTGTTTGGGATTTAAACCTGACTGAGAGGTCCAGCTCAGTTTGACTGTGAAGTTGGTCTAAAGTTAAAAAGTTGGTGAAGATCTGAATGAGCGTGCATTCAGTCAGATAGAAACTAACATACTAATGGGAAAAATGGTCAAACTTAAGGCATGGCGTTAAATCAAATGTAAATTATTAAATTTAAAGAAAGATACATTTAAAAAACCCATATCAACTTGATTAAGCATTATAAGATTTTCTTTCCTTTTAGAAAAATAAATAAATCTGTAAAATCAAAAATTTTTCTGCAATCAGTAACATCATTTCTATGCTTTTCCAGACCTGTGAAAAGATAGAAGAAAAAACAATCCTTTTGCTGATTTTATTAACGACACAGGATCCCTATATCTAATCCGCATCGCAGCTAACATGGCAGAAAAAACTTTTCACCTGAAAAAACTGTAATATTGTGAAAAGAGCCTGAGTTTCACTTGCCATCTAAATACTTAACGTTGAATACTTGAAATTCTCTGACTGAAAAAAAGGTAGAAAATATTTAAAGTATCAGTCATAGTAAAAAGCTTTTCTGTAAACCTCTAGAGTTTTCTGTTTGCAAAACACATCATTTAAAGTTCGGTAAGCAAGCTCTTTGCTGCCTGATTAAAAAAACCACCCAAACAGAAGAGATGAGGAGGAATTTAGCCATACATTCCCGCCCTGCAGGTTCTGTCCTACCTCCACTCCTCGTTGGGCCGTGCCTGTTCGTATTTCTCTCTGATGTGGGACACCGCCATGTCAGGGTGAAGCCAGTGCACCTGGTCTCTGGACTGGCTGTTGCTGAGCCGGAGGCCAAAACAGGAAATCCAACGCACCTTGTTGATGTCCAGAATCTTTTGGATGATCCCCTACATTCAAGAATGAAAGTTAAAAAAAATTGTTTAAATTGATCCAAAGTTTTCTATCTAAGGAAAACCAGTTATATGCATCGACTCATTGACTCGAAGGCAATCCCTCACACTAAGTATGCTTGTAGCGACAGAGGAGAGGAAAAACTCCCTTTTAACAGGAATAAACCTCCTGCAGAACCAGGAAGTTCTGTGTATAGTGCACAGGTAGGTCGGTTTACCAGATTAGTTTAACCTATGCTATGTTTATCCATAGTCTACATGGATTGGATTAGAACCATATAAAGAACCATCCACATATTGACTTAAAACATGCCTCATTTAACAGTTCCAATGGTTGGTTTACATTCAATATTTTGTTTCAGGTCAAGAAATATGAGTGTTTGTGTGCATGTTTGGTTTGCTGCAGTTTAACATGAAACAACTTGGCAGACATCGTACATCCATAATAATGATCACAGAAGCATGTGTGATGCCATGTAAAAGGCTGGGGGCTCTGACCTAGATACCAAAGAAGAGAGGGATTAAAGGAGAACAGAGGAGCAGATATCTTTCCAGTGACTTATCCTGTATGACCACTAACAGTTCGAGCTGCGTTAAGTAGTTTCTGTGTCATGGTTACAATATAATAAAAAGCACACAACTATACAGACTAAACAGAAAAATATTTTGTCCTTTTGTTATATCTGAGCCAAAATACTATTTGGGTAGAGTTTTTATTACAAGAGCGGAAAGCTTAAACCCTGAATTGTAACGTTACCCTCAACATCCACAGAAACTGTGACTGCTACTTTAGAAATGACCCCTCAGAAAATTATTAAAGGTATACCGCAAGGCTCAGTTCTTGTATTACTTGTTTTTTGGTTGTTGATAATTGTCTTCATATTTGGAGAGCAATATTCCTTATGCTGAAGCTTAAAAAAATACTTTTACTCAAGGGGCGAAGACTTTAATTGGAAGTAATCATTTGAATCTAAAATAAACAAGCAATTCAAATCAATTCAGTTTAACTATATAGTGCCAATCAACAAAACCTTGTCATCACAAGGCAATTGTTATATGTTGTCTTAGGAAACTCATCTGATTGAATTAAGTCATTGACTTTGCAGGAATGAAAATAAGCCAGAAGGGTCTCATAATGCCGGTACCGGTAAAACATCTAGGGACGGTTTGCAGCTTCTTGAAGCCCTAGTGCCAACCTGAGTCCACAGTGAGACGTGTCTGCAGTATTTAAATATTGGTCAATACGTGTCTAGTGGTGGTCAAACCTTTTACCGCTAAATGTTCTAATGCAAAAATCTGTCTATGCAGGTGTTAAGCTACTTGTTTGCACTTGCCATTCACTTGGGTGATGTGTTCAACCTGTTAATGGCCCTCAAAATCATTTTTTCTCTTGGCTGTCTCTGCCCTTTCAACTTAATGGACTATTTGTAAATTAACAACATTTTATGAAGTGTAAAAAAAAAAAAAAAAAAAAAACTTTAAAATGTTTTATTTCTACCAGCTCAAAAGAGGTGATGCAAAACTTCCTTCAATCTCTTCCCCATATTATAGTGTGCCTTTATTTCTATCTATTCAAATAGAGTGTAAATGTGTCATTGTTTGTCATTAAATGAAGTTCAGGATTGTCATGGATTTACAAGGCAGCTTTGGGGATTCTCATGAAAAGTTAGAATAACCGCTAATCTTTTCCATATTTTGCTTTTAAAAAGAGTTCTGAGTGTTTCATCAGCCTAATTTAACATTTTAGATCGCTTTTATTAGCAACAGAAATTACAAGCATAAATGAAGGTATATAGAATGCATAACTACTCAACAACTCATGGTGCTCTTGTCCTTCATCCATCATACAGAGCAAAGAAAAAAACATTTATACCAAAGGAAAAATATGGAAAATGAAGGTGGAAAATAAAAATGTTGTTGAGGTTTAAACCAGAACCATGTCGGATCTAAACTTAAACATGCTTCTACATTAGCCTTTGTGAATTGTTGCACTGAAGGAAAAGACTGAGAAGAACTCAATTATAACCCAATTTGGTGCTTGTTGATTGATCTAGCATGTCAATGCAAATGCATTTAAAGATTAGATAAGGTGAGAATTTGTCCCATGCAAAAGGGATGCAAAGAAATAAAAATTCTTAGCTGAAATAGAAAAAAAAATGAGGAAACCAAGGCCTAAACCTGAAAGACCGAAAGAAATGATGTCAATAATTATAATCATAGCATGTTTGTTTACAATGTTTACTAACCTGACTAAAATTAAGGCATTGCAATAAGGCCATTACAAAAGTATCAAACTTTGAGTTACCAACAACATTTTAACAGTGCAAAAAATAAATCAATTTCAAAATAAAATATTTATTTTGACCCCACTCATGTGGACATTCCATAATAATGTATAGGCTTATAACAGACAGGACTGCTAAAAGACTGACAAAATGAAATATAATAACATTTTATATATAAAACTTTCCTGCCTTTCAAACATGTCTGCCACAGATGGAGTGGGGATGCTAGGTGTCAGTTTCTGTGTCGCATTCTTCTCATATTCAGAATGGTGAATGTGATATTTGGATTTCAGGAGATAAATCAACCACAACATGGAGAAATTCTTTGCAGATCCTGTTTTGCAGGAAATGCAGATATTTGGATCTTTCCCCAAGATGGGGAAATAAGTCCTCAGTGAAGACATGCTGGCTCTTATTCTGTTTTCGCGTTTTCCCACCTTGTTGTTTTGTTGTTTCATTTTTTTCTGTTTTTCAGTTGGAAATTGACTTTTGGGTTGTTTTTCGGCTGAAAATTTTTGGTGCCCAAGTTTTTAACGAATCCCTACCATGCACACAGTCAACACCTCCAACCCTCAAAGAAAAATCCAATCTGAAAGTGCTTCTTACCCTGACATCAGTTGCATCTCCGTATCTGATGTTGGAAGACCAGAAGCTGTGTTCAACATTGGTCTCAAAGTAATGGAAGACTTTCAGAACCCTGTCCACGGAGCCAGCCATGGTGCGGTCCGATCCTCCCGTGCTCAGCTGAGACTTGGCGCCTGCCAGGAAGGCATTGTTCAGGTTGGGGTCCATGTAGGCTGTTGCCATGGTTTTCCCTGCTGAGACTGCCGCTGCTAGGTGTCTGTCATATTCTGGAGAGTTAAAAGAAAAGCATTATTGGAATTAAAAGAGATCAAGTTTTTAGAAAAAGAAACGTTTAATCAGACAGAAATAACAAAACATTTTTCAGATCTTTTAAGTTTTTTCACCTTTACAAAGAGAAATATAATGGTTCATGTAAAACATGTAAAGCAAACTAATACTTTTATTGTTTTTTGTTTAAATTAAATAAAAAAGGCAGTAAAACTTGCACAAATAATAAAAGACTGCATTATCTGAGTTTGAACAAAGAAATCTCCCGCTTTCTTTATCTACTTGCAACTCTATATAGTTTTAACTAATGCTGCACATCTCAATCCTTGTTGCTCCTGTTTTCCCCACTGGCCTTCCTGTCCTGTTTGACGTAAACTCTGTACAGCAAGTATCCATCCTCCACATGTTGTTCTTTGGCAAGATAAAAAAAAACAATGAACAATAAGATACCGGAGAGAAATAACACAACACAAGTGCAGCCAGGGTCAAGTCTCTTTATGTAGCTATAAACCAGAGTAGACAATGCACCACAGGCTGCCGTGTTATCCTGGATAAAATTCCTGACATTGGCACACTTCCTGTAATTTTACGGACACCTCATCTGAAAAACACACACGTGTTGCTCTGTCGTCAACATAAGAAAGCAGAGCTTCTGATGTGCTTTAAGGTTCATTGTTCTGCTTCCCCTCCTTCCTGTGCTTGTCCTCCATTAGAAGAAAATGGAGACCTTCTAGAAGTTAATTGCACCTGAGAGGGCTGCAGAGAGTGTGCACAGCCGCACACACCCACCGATATAACAAACACAGCCTGCTCACAGAAGCAGGGAGATTTCCCTGCGTACTGACTCCGGTTCCCATGGAGTCAGATGTCACACACTGGGTGACTAGTTTCAGGCTCCTTGTTGCTGAGTGTGTGCTTTGAGGAGATTTCATTCATACCTCTATCCCAGCACAAGGGGAAAGGACTGCAGCCGCTCATCGCCATAGAAACGCATGTCTGCCCCTTCCTGTGCCTGTCTGCTCCGAGGACGGAGAGGCAGCTCTGCGCTTCACAGCCTCGCATCACAAAACGCCGAAGTCGGGTAAATAAACACAGCAGGATCCCGAGACGACTGTCAAGACAGCTATTACATAATCCAAACACTACTTTACAGTAAAATACATCTTCCACAGGATAAAGTAGCTCTTACGCAACAGTTTGTAAATCTTTTTTTTTTCAAATAAGACGAAATCTTCAGAATGCCCATTTTTGTAAGTGTTGAAAAGAGTTTAAAAAGTCCTCCAGGACACGTTCAGCTCAACAGAACTGATCCACTGGATGTTTTCCCTTCATGTCAGATAACAGACGATAGTGAGAACTACTGGAGATCCGGAAAACTTTAATGCTTGTCCTTTTCTGTCCACTTGTTACTCCTTAGCGGTCCTTCTCTGATGAAAACACATTGTTAGCTTTTAGACCGAAGAGAGCTTTGCCTGACCTCCATAGTCTTGGTTGCTGTGTAAGTTTCAAGCAACTGTTGCTCAGTGGTGAGAATAAATCCTCCAGGTTTCTGGGATTTCGGAGTAAAACCCTCCTTTATCGAGAGCACAAAGCCAAATCCAGCTTGCACAAAACAGCCCTTAATCCAGAGGAGCTTCGGTCTTTTGGTGCCAGAAAACAAGGAGCCGCAATTACTGTGCTCAGAGAGAAACAAACAGAGTTATCGTCTTTTGTCGGAAACAGAAAGTGAGAGGACAGATTGGACTGGCTAAACAAAGGAAGCGGAGACAGAGATGGGGAGGAATACAGCGATTGTTTGGTAGTGAATGAGAGGAAAAGGAGGACAGAGCAACAGGACTGAAAGAAAGTTGAGGGAGAAATGGGAGAACTCCAAACAGAGGGGACTGATGGTGGAGGGGGAGGAGCTAAACACTATTAATATGCTAATTCAATCCTTTCATTTAACTAAACTAAAACTCCCACTGCAGCTTTTGAAGCTTATCTCAGAGTGAATAATCTGAACTTAACTTTATTTTATTCTAAATTTAGTCTCCAAGAAATCGTTGTTTATCATTTCTTAAATTTAGAGGTTAAATATTCAGCACTGAGGTTGGAAAAAGGCAAAAGCATCTCAATTTAGGATTTCTAAATAAAAACTTTCCAAGATCTTCTCCAGATACCTTTGAGTTAAATTCAACTCCTGCAAGAAATTTAAAAGAAAATCAAAAGAGACTAGCTGGACGAATCTAAGCAAATTCATAATTAGCTTTCATAGTATTTCTCCATGGTGTTAGAGTTGGTCCTGGATGAGATCAAATAAGAATTTGATTGTCTTAATATAAACTAACAATGTAGGGATCAAATATATAAAGTAACATTTTTGATTTCCTGCCCTGGAGGTTTCTATCTGCAAATTAATCCACAGAAGTTTGGCATCTGACAGCAAATAAAGGAATAACAAGATATGGCTCATTTGTGTATCAAAACACATCTCATCTTTTTTTAACTCATGCAAAAAGGATTCACTGCAATTGGATTTTGCATTTAAAAAAAAAAGTGAAACTTTAGGTTTTAAGAATTTTATAAATAATGGGAAAAGTGGATTTTATTGACTAGTCACCAATCAGATTCAATTAACAATGGAAAATACAGCAGCGTTAAGGTTTTAAAAGGGTTAACTGAAACAGGAAAAATAGCCAGTGCTAAATTTCTCAAACAAAAACGCTTAGAACACGGTTTATAATAATGATTTTGCTTTTGTCTATATATATCAGATCTAAGTTAATTGCAATAAAATCCATTCTTTTTTTTAAATTCCCTTTTTTCAACTCAAATGATCTTATATCTATAAGCACAACAACCCTACAAAACCCCACAGAATTTATAAAATAAAAACACAAAAAATACTATATCCTGGGGCACAACAATAATCTTCCAACCAAACATACAATTATGCTCAAATGATCCGTTTCTACCGACCCCTGTTCAGTTAAAACCTGTGAAATGTTACTGTACGTTTGTCTCCAGAAAAACTTAACTGAGCAGCAATTAATTTGTGCCTTTTTCATGCATGTGTGCACGTGCAGCTTTTCTATAATTTGTGGTCCATCTGAGGCTTGGCTCATTGTTATGAAAATCTTCTGGGGAGCTGGGGGTCTGTGTGCTGCTGGGGGCTATTAAAAGCCTTTTGTCAGAGGGGCCGGATGTTGCCATGAATGGGAAGAGCTCTTCTGGGGCCGAGCCAAAACTCCCTCTCATTATTTTCCTCTGAGCATGCGTGTGAACTTAATTAGTTTGGCACAGAATTTATACAAAGCAATTACAACCTTAAATAATTAGAATTATTTTTGCTTTCCAGTGAAACATCTTGATTTTCTTACAAAGTGTTCAAGGTAAAAGAACAACAATTTTCAAACATCTCCTATAAAATGTTAAATTTTTTTTACTGGAATTTGATATTGTCAGTAAATTTACTTCAACAGGATAGAAAGAAACTGAATTTCCTGCATGCTTAAAGTAAATTGCAATAAAAAAAGTAATAGAGTTTAAATAGTTTGAAATAATCCCTGATAAACTGACCACAAGTTGGTAACCATAAATAAAACTGAACAATCAAAGCATCTGTCTAAACAACAGGTATTATTCCGTTCTTTGTTATGCTTTAACTTCCTGACAGCTGTGGGACGCTGATGTAGATCCTTTAGCATGAGATCAAAACGTAATGCTGAGGAAAACTAACACCTTGAACATATATGCTCATAATACACTATACCAGTCAGACCTAAATCTAGTTTAAGGCTGGTTTCTGAATATAAACCAGCCTTAAGCTAGCGGTGTTGAACAGGACATGCATTGAGAAGTTGTTTTTATTAATTAAAGTAGCACCAAATGCTAAAACAAAATAGGCTGCTGTAAGATAATGAACCTAATGACACTTTTGGGACGGTATGGATGGATAACGGACCAAATAATTCAAATAGATTAATGCTTTAATAAACTAAGCATCTAAGGTGTGTAGAGAACTCAAAGACTCATGATACCCTCTTCTATCCACATCAGCAGCTTCCCCATTTACTTTTAAATGCTAAATATTTATCAGAGCATGTGAATGCCTTCCATTCATAAGGGAATGAAGCATTTTATCTCAGACTGTGGAGTCAGTTCCTTACCTGTGTAGTAGGCGATCCTGGAAATATCTGAAAGACAAATGGAAAAACATCCTTGTCAGCTGGATTGTTTAGCAGAGAAGCTCCAAACAAGCAGATATATACAGCAGGTGTCCCCAAGTCAAATGAATTCAATGACCTCCAATATAAATACTCTGACCTCTGCGTTTTGCGTCACTATAAATTAATCAAAAATCAATCCATGATCTTCATGTCATACACACAATTCAAGGAGTATTGATTGAGTTCTTCAAATCAATTTCCAATTGGTTCTTTATTCACCTCTGACTCGCATGTCGAGGCCGCACTATTTTAAAGTAATCAGAGGTTAAAGAGTGAAACTCTGGAGGGGTACCACCATTGTTTTGTTTTTAAGGTCCAGCAGCTGTGACATGAGGATGTGGTTTAACCTTTAGCCTTTTGTTAGGGGGTTTAAACTTAGCAGAAACACTGAGTATACTTCTGAGGCTTGACATAAGTGGAACTTAAGATGTTACCCAGCTTTAATTCCAGTTTGCCCCCCCCAGCATCCAAATGAAGATGGATTAAATAATCAAGATATCCGCCAGCACGATTTGCAGCCTTGGAAGGGAATCCATAAGCTGCTGTAAAATCTCCCACTTCCTACAAGACTGAGAAATACTCCTCCGTCTTTTTTAAGAACAGTTTGAAAACTGGGTTTAATATCTGGCTTCAAAAACATTTAGACAAGTGAAAACCTGTCAGAGCCCTATAGAAATATTTACAGGCCTCCCACTTGGTCTTTTTCATATAACCCTGGTATTAAATGGATTGTAATGAAAGAACAACACAAAGTAGGGGGGAAAAAATGGAGAAAAAACAAACAGTATTCGAAACATTGAGAGATAAAAAGCTGAAAAATGTGAGTCAGCACCACCTGTTTCATTTTTGGATGATGGATTAATCAATTCTTTGTGAAATGTTCAAAGTTTGACATTATTTCATAACCCATCCCAGCCTTAAACCTCCCCACAGGCTTATCCCTGACCCATCCGCTTTGTTCATTGGTATTAATTATGCTGTTTGTTGAATGATGTTCCCTAACAAACCTCTGGGGCTTTGATTAAAAGGAACTGAATACAGATGTAGGCCAATTTTCTAAGAATGTTATTGTCCTCCTGAAACATAATGCAGTTCTGTTGGTAAAGCAAAAAGAAAATGGGAAAAAGTTCAATATTTTTCCAAGTGACTATGATTAAAGCTCCAGTAAGGCCCATAGACAGAGCCGCTCCAGAGCTCTGACAGGAAGTTCAGGAGAAGCTTTAAGGGAACCTGACACCCACTTATTGGACTAACTGGGCTGTGTTAGACAGAGGTTTATAGAGGATAACTGTCTAAGTGCTTTAAATGTACAAATGTGCACAAACATTCTGGCTATTGAAGCCTAAAGACTAAAGACTAGATGCACTGAAGGTTTAAGGACACGCCTGGCTGTCAACATAGATCAACTGATGGTAGAAGGAAAATCCAGAGAAACAGAAAATGCTGGTGATTTGACTTTTAGTGGGAATGCTACTTCTAAAGGGCAACTTCCTATCCATAGGGTAAACAGTTAGGTAAGACTAATGTTAGGAACATCATATATTGACCTAATTATAGAGGGAGACATTTTTTTCATGTAGAAATTTGTTTAAAACTACCAAATTGTACACTTCAGCCCATTTAATTATGCAACTTCATACATTCCTGTTGAATTTTTGAGATATATTTCTACATTGGACATGTTTAACGTAAGGGGGTAAAGTGGCAAGGCAAGGTAAGACAGGTTTATTTATATACCGTAGCACATTTCAGTAGCAAGACAATTTAAAGTGCTGTCCAATAGAAAAAAATAAAGAAACAAGAAAATGTACATTGTAGTGGCATAAAGGTAACTGAATAATTTATAATAATTACAGAGATTAAAAAAGAATAATTGAAATTATAAGATTAAAAAACAAATTAAAGATTTATAATAAAATAAAGTTAAGTTAGACTAAAAACATTAACTAATAATGTAACTAAACAAAATACGTTTTTAATTTGGATTTAAAGCTACTTAGCCACTAATGTGGTGGACTCACTTTTAAACAATCTTCTTCAGGTTCAAAAACTATTATTTCAGTTTCTTCATTTTCAGCCAAAGAAAATGTGGAGACATCAAGATGTCGATTTCTTCAGTGCATTTAGCCAAAGCTTGAAGCGGTTAACGGTCACCTGATGACATCGTAATGTACAGCTGTGCCTCAATGGATGGACTCTTGAAAATGGATGGATGGTCAGAAAAATAGACAGATGGATGAGAGGAAAGAAGGACTCTTTCCAGACTGTGTAGTATTGAAGCATTTAGTAATATATCCTGTAAATATTAGCCAGTTTCAATATTGGCTTATCTTTTCACTATTACCGTATTTTCACGACCATAAGGCGCACCGTACTAAAAGGCGCAGTCTCAGTTATGTGTGCCATTACTGTATTTAACACACACATAAGGCGCACCGGATTATAGGGCGCGGGTTTTATATTCCGGTACATATCCTCTACTACGTTTAAATACCTCTACTGTGTATTTAAAAATAGAGCGGGAGCAAAACTGAGTATGTTTATGCTTTATTCCTGAATTTATTACAAAGTATTAATCAAACCCATCAAAGTCATCACCCTCTGTTTCTGAATTAAACACCTGCGCTAAATCAGACATGCCAGT